ACGTCGAAATGAGCTAATAGACAGAACAGTCAAGCACAGGAACACAACGGCAAAATGGCATCAACTAGCTACGTCTGTGGCATAACAGGTGTGTTCCAATACTCACCGTAGACGGCTAAGTAGACAGCTAAATGGACGGCGGCCATTTCAAGTCCCATTCTAATTCTCATGTAGCCGACGAAATAGACAACTTCAAGAAGACCGCATCATAGACAAATATGATGCAGGCTACTTTGCCATCTAAACAAGATGGCGGCTCAGCGAATCGCTCAGGATAGATCTAATCTCGCCGGAATGGTCGTCTGCACACAAGAAGACGCTTCCCCAGACGCTCAGTGTAAGTAACATTTATTTGTTTTCGATTTCAACACGAAATAAGCCAGAAAATACAACTGTTACGTTTGTTTATTTTAGATTCTTTTTTCAACGTGAGGTGGCTCCTCGTCGCATAAAAGCCGTCCAGACGTGTTCCGATTTTCGGACAGCATGGGCTCAGTGCCCTCTTCTAAACAGTCTGCGTAGACCGTCTAAGAATGCGTAGGCCCTCTTCTAAACAGTCTGCGTAGACCGTCTAAGAAACAGTCTGCGTAGGCCGTTTAAGAATTGGAACACAGCCAACATCGCCAACGTGCTCTCAGACTGGCTTGGCTGAAAGCCCCCAATGTTGCCAGCTGCAATTTAAAATTACCGTGGCCAAATCTGTTATTAGCCCATGTCAACACAGCAAAAGTCTGCTATTGGTGTGCAATTTCTAAAAAAACTGCCGCTAATTTGATCCACTGTAGCCGATAGTCCGTTGTATCGCAGTCCGTTAAAAGCGAACTTTGCTTCATTAATATAATACACAGACCAATCTTAGGCTGAATAATGGTCCGTTGTATCCAAAAGTCCGTTGTACCCGGGTCCATTATAACGAGCGTAGACTGTACTGTTAAAAGTGGTATCACGAAAAAAAAAAAAGCTATCAAAAGGCCATGATTCATTTTAGAACAAAAATGATCCCTCCTTATCAATGAACAAATAATTACATGGGAGACACACCAATAATAATAATAGTAATTTTATTTCCCTTGATACAATTCATGAGCTTGTGCAAGCAATATTATCCTTAGAAGTAAAACAAGTTGGCGAGTAAGTTATATTTATTATAAAAGAATTATTACCCAATTTGTGATGGCATGCCAGTACTGATAATTCTAATACGTATTTACTCGCATAATTCGCACACTTTTTCTCATAATTTTTGCGCTCCTGGAAGAGGGTGCACAAATTACGTGGGGACTTCCGAAACGTATAAACAATAATGTGCAATATTTCTTGCACGTAGTGTATTGATAAAGAAAGATGATAAATTAGAGCACAAACAAAGTGTACATGTTTAACTGCATCGTGGTTAATGCATTGTAGTTAATTTCACACTATCTGTTTCCCTTCTGAATCTCCCTGTGTGGCCCACTATCGTGGGAAGTCCGAGTCCGTTGACTCACGAGTGAGTTTCTTATTGTATGGTTTCACCTGTCTGAATGTTCTATACTGCTGTGTTTTTAACCCTAAACCACCTTCCATAATTTTTCAACATTTCATGTACACACACACACACACATTGAGCTCATAATTCGTCACAATTAACATTGCCAAAAATGGCAGTGTATAAGCCCGGCGCATGCCAGGAACTCTAGGAAACAATCTTCTTTACGCCTTTCAGCGTGCCTAGCGCTGGCTGTGGTACCATCACCTGCATCTGGTCACATCAGCACTAAAACAAACCCGTTTGCTTTACCCACAGGTGCCCGCACTCACCGCTCTAGGAGGAGCGCTCGGCTAGGTGGAGAGATCAACTTACTAACCGAGTGAAGCGAAGGAAAGAGCAAAGCAGGCGAGGGCCCCTTTTAGGTTCTTCGAAGGAACACAAAATGAAATATTAGGTTAATGTTGAGTGCTGAAATAGCGGTCTAGAAACCTTGTAGTGCTACTTTTGTGCTAAGAAAGTGCGTATTTTGAAATAAAATCACGTTATTGTGGTCTGAATCATGTCAGCACACTTTGAATTACCCGCCTCAAGTGGGAACCTTTCACGTCCCTGTATCCGTGCACTTTGTTACCCGGCTTTCTTGCGCGGCTGCTGACATTAGTAGCAGCAGCACGAAAGTAGTGGTAGCCATGGCAGCAACAACGGCCATTGAACAACTTCTTGCCAAGGCCTCCGAGATTGCAGGCGTGCTTCGTTCAACTGGGCCCCGCTAGATCGTACGACCTGTCCGGTTTAACTAGGCGAAAATGGGACTTTTGAACCACCCGTGCCATTCACCAATGTCCAGCGGTTCTTTTTTGCAAAAATGAAACATAAACAAACAAGCAACATTTTATTACGTCTCTAAATGCATGGAAGGTGCTTTATTTAGTGGAGCTAGTTAGATTACTAGTGATTAATTGTAGGCGGTAAGTCTGACATCCTCGGGATCATTTTGCGAATGTCCTACTCATGTTCCCGTGCATTTGCATTAATTTCTTCGTAAAACAGGGCACTGCTGTTGATAATATACTCTTAAACCTGGATACAAAGAAATTGATGAAGTCTAAAAAAAGTTCGTTATACAGAGGATTTCATTATATGCAGGTTCGGTACGAAAATCAGTAAAATAAACACGCAAGTTAAACAAGAGGGTTACTGAAGGGAAGCTAACCCAAAACACTTATTTTACAGTAAAAAAACTGCGTTATTATTGCGATAGAAATTACATGAATACACTCGGTGGGTTTTTTACGTCACCGCCATGTTCCGTAACAAGTCCAAATTGATAAGATGCCTCTGCGCTTCGTAACTTTCACTAGCGGGTAAAAGCGCGTGAGCGCTGCTGAAGCATAAATCAAATCAGACGGCCCATTCCTATCACCTGGAAAGTACATAAGATAACGTTTCCCGCGTGTTATAACCGCCGTCCAATGCTCGAACACAGAGTAAACCACCCGTCTTGAACGAGCATGAAATAACGTGGGGAGGGCGGGAAGACGGGGGGCGTGGGAATCGATCGAGTAGCACTTATGAACTTAGATTTCAAGGGTGGTTGCCATCGCTGGCACACTTGCTATCTCGGCGAGTATCAGTGCAGTTTGAACGTGAAGTGACTGTGTGAAAAGAGCACTTCTCCCTGGAAAGCCTGTATTTGCTCGTTCCGCGATATCCGATCCAAAAGAGTTAGTTGGCTGCAGCCTTACTTCATATATCATTACAATTTTTTGCTATCGCGTTCATTGCATTGCATTCAACGTGCCGTCGTGTTGCCAGAACTAATCAGCTAATCACGAGAGCTACCAGTCTGCTAACTCGTGGCTTGGCGCAAGACAGAAGCACGCTACGAGCTGACCACCAAAGATCTGTCGTCACTGTGGTCTCGGAGAGCTTCCATGCCTCATCTGACATCCCCTTGGTGACGACGACACGGTTGTCCGAAATCAAGAAAAGTCACAGCTTTGCCGCAAGGGCGAAGCAATTAAACTGCAATAGCAACAACTTTGAATGTAACGCTAAGAACGACAAGCAGATGGAAACGTGTAACGCGCTGCTCACGCGCAAATGACGCACTAAAATTCACAGGACGAGAGCACACTAACAACATTTACCCCTTGACACTTAACGCAGTGTTCAAATAAAAACGAGGCACGAAACGTAATCACAGGTACAGATATGAGGGCGAACTGACAAGTGCCCCAGAAAAGCTTTTTTCGCAAACGGCGCATGTTCAGCGAGTGAAGTAATCTTTGTGCGCGCGGCAAATAAACGCAATCGTTCCGGTCAAGGTCGAATGCACTATTTTCCCCGCCAAAGAACAAGCGCATGCACAGAGGCATTAACCCTCCCCTCTCCTCTCTATTCTCCGGGCAAAGTACGCGTGGGAGATAAGCGCACGTCCGCGCATCGTGACGAGCTGGGTGCCGAGCGCGGGCGTCTTTTTTTCCCCTCAAGTTTTCATATTGGATATGTCTGCGACAGCGACGGCAATAAACCAGCCAGGACTCTTCGCATAAATGCTATCGTAATAAATAAAAAAGCAAAGATGAATGTCATCAGGGGCCGTACCATGCGCGCGCAGTGAAACTATGCACGCACACACGACGTCGAAAACGAAGGGCGAAAGACATGGACACCGCGGAAAAGTATTCGGTAAAGAGTTCTTTATGGTCAGCGCGGCCCCGCATATGTGATGCTAACTAAAGCGTGGCGCTTCCAACGTGAAAAAGTGGTTTTCTTTCTTTTTATTTTGATTTAGAGTATGGGGGGGGGGGGGGGACAATTGCGCATGAGCTCGCGGCGGCGAGAACCAATGCCAGCTCGTAGGGTGCAGACCCGCTCGCGCTCACCGACGCGCAATAGCGAGCGCTTGTTCTCGCCTGGGGCGTGCTGCGCGGCGCGCCGCTTCAGGCTTTGTCGGCGAGGGGGGGGGGGGGGGGGGGGGGGGGGGGGGGGGGGGGGGGGCAGTTGCGGAAGATGCATGCTTGTAACAAAACGTGGAGCAAATTTTCTAAATTGCCCGTGGGAAAAATTCACTATACCGAGGTTGTCTCCTGCTGTTACTTTGTTACATAGAGGTCGCGAATACATGTGCTTCTATGAAGCAACAGCGGGGAATATAAACACTTTGTTATATCAAGGAATTTGTTATACGACGGAAGTTCATTATAAGCAGGTTTAACTGTAGTCGTTTTAGACATTCTACATTAAGTTTTCACTCTGACTTAAATACTTATTTGCATTTAGTGTCTTTTTAAATACACGTAACTCCACTATTATGGCTTCGTTCTGAAAAATTCTTGCAGCTATGCGTTTGTCAAAGAGTCATGCACAACCACAGCACCACAACCACATTTTAACCTCTTCGTGGTTTAGGGGCCCTTAAAGATGTTGCCCTGGTTACATCAAATGTCTGGTGGGCCTGGATCTTGGCCTTGCTAAAAGGATGACAGGCATCCAGCTTGAGCTTTACGAGAAAGCATCCACCTACCATTTTAGGTGGTGAATGCTGCTCCAGGAAAGGATGACTGCCGGAGATGGTGTAGTGGCGGCGCTTGTTGCGACGAGACTCGTTCTTGAATGGTGTGCGCTGGCCGCTGGCCATGCTCTCCGATGACGATGAACTCGCACTCCTGTCTTCCGAAGCTTGTGCTGTCCTGGGCTGGCTTCTGCATAGGCATTTTCACCTCTTTTAACACGCTGACTTCAAAGAAACAATCCAAATGTTCCCATATGCTGAAACGTCGACCTATAAGCTTTGTAGCTATAAAAGTCAAAGTCAAAAAGTGCTAAAAATTGTTAATATGTGCAAAAAAATGTTTAGGCATTGTCCAGATATTTTTAAAAATAGGCAACTGTATATTAGGGTGCAGTGAACAGGCCCGCTGCTCGAAAGTTGCCACAGATGGGAATGCTAATGAAGCTAACTTAAAGCAGAAGTTCATGGGAAGAAGAGAAATCCTTGAATAAGAAGACGTGTGAGGTTGTTCGAGGCAACGTTTCGACAAGTCCACTCGTTAAAGCATTCACTCAAATTTTTAATCTAAATTTCACTAGCTATTAAAAACAAGTTTTATGAGAAGATCATGTTGCTGTAAGTAGGAAGAATCATCAAGCAAGCCCGTAAAATCTGGCTCTAGGAAAAGACCCGTGAGGGAGCATTCTTTGTTTTTATAGTCTGCTTGTGTCTTAATTAACTGCATATGAGCGAAATGTGATTAAATTAACGACCTCAATGCAACAATCACAACCAAACTTTCAAATTGAACAGGCATACTACGGTGAAGTTTAAAAAGAACAGATGTACACATAGCGTTTATGTAAAAAAAGAAGAGAAAAATGAAAGAAAGAAAAATGAGAAAAAAGGACTTGTACATAAGGAATGTCGACACAAAATAGAGGAAGCGAACCAGAAAATTTACAGGTAAATACGTAGAAAACAGCAGGGGGAAAACCAAAAATAACTACCGGTTAAGAAGAAGGTGAAGGAAACGGAGACCGACATGTTGAGAATTGGCACGATCAAGAAGTCGGCACTAGAGATCTATTGAACTTTTAAAGAGCACTGACATCAAATTTACTCATGCCAAGATTTTTGCATCAGCGAGTAGCTATAGACCCTGTAGCAGCGATTTGCGACCTAAAACGCAACTGAGAGATGAAGAACTATCACTTTTATGATTTGTATCAATGATATCTAGCACTACTCAAAATAGCTGGCAATCTCGCCATTTTCAGCACTGGGAAGCACCAGCAGTGGCGCTACCTCGCTGTCACCTCCAGATCACGCCACAACTGACAACTTCTCCACAGAAAAGAGTGACGTCAGGCTCAGCTGCTCCGCAAACATTTTGTCTGCTAGGCGGACACATTCAGTCATGCCTTGTCGCCTGCATTGCTGTCGTCACCGTACAAAGTGTCGATTTGGGCTTAATACGATAGTCTGGAGCTTGGAATCTCCGCGATTCGCGACGTCGCGAATTATTTTTGCTTCGATCGACCTTTTGCAGAACAGTGACTCCAAAATGGACGCCGTTTCGAGCAGTACTGCGGAGGTGCCCGAGGATGCATACTTCAGCCATGTTTGCTCGTGTGTCTCAGTTAGCTATATTGGCGTGTTTTGGCGTGCAATGCATTCAGGTATATGCAGAGGGGTCAATGCAATATAGCTATCGCGAATGAGCATCAGCAGGAGAAATAGAATTCGTTTCTTCGCTTGCCAGGCTTCTTTTTTGCGCCTCCAGATGGCCCCACTTATCCAGCCTCTCACAGTTCACACGGTATTACCACTTTTACGTGGACGCAAAGTCTACAGATGAACTAAAATTTAACGATACCTGCATGTTACTTGTTAGCGATGATATCTGACTATAAGCTGTTCCACTTTTGATAGCTTGTGGTCGTGTTCATGTGTAACACACACGTGATATAAAAAGACACCCTCATTGCTCTTCTTCCGTGCTTCGAACTAGGTGACTGCTACTCACCTGCCACTCACAACGATTAACCAGCATGCTGACCGACAAGCACACGTTTAGTCATAATCTTTTCTTTCGCCATTCTTCTAAAGGTGGTTTTTATCTTCATAATTTCAGGAAATCATTCAAACTGGTGCGATAAAGATCAGGCGCGACGAGCGAGTGCGTTTCAGCGCTTCGGCGCCACGAAAAGAAAACCCGGATCGTACACGTCATTGCTACTAGGGCATTGTCACTCAGGATGGTATTTGTGGAATGTATCACACCGAACATGTAGCAATAGTGTAGATGTCGCAGGGCAGTCTATTTTCCTTTTTTTCTTCTTTAGCTTTTCTACGCTGTTTGACATTAAATTAAAATAACTTCCACGCGACGAATGTCATTGAAGTTTGGCCTAGAAGACCTATGCATACCAAGCGATTGAATCATTGGCACATCTCGATATTGAAATTTGATGTCAGTGCTCCTTTAAGCCTCTTTCAAGTAAACACTACAGTCGCTCCCCGTTATATCAAATGCAGATATATCGAATTATTGGCTATATCGAACAGTTGACCCCTTGAATTTCCCATGCAAAAGCATGGGAAAGGTGCACCCGTATATCAAACTCCCTCAATGCGGGACATCCTACTATACTGAACACTGGGCCACGCTGAAACCCAGAAAATGCCCTTTTCATAGTAAATATTGATCAATTGTCAGTCGCGCTCTAACAAGTTCTGATCTCTTTTCGAGCGCAGTTGACGAAAAGTTGGCGCTATTCCATCGTGCTGATCTAGATCGTTGCACGCCGCTTGCGAGTGCATCGGTATGTTTGGCGCGTAATCTGCAGGTCTTAACGCGTGGGCATAGTGTTCTCCAAAAAAACCCATTGCCGAGGATACCCAAATGAGAATGCGAAGTGACTCGGCAATCTTGTTGCATGTTCGCATTCCCTTCCTTCTTTGTTAGCGCACAATGGCATGCGAGCCTGAAAAGCATGGGCTTTGAGCTGGGGTGGAAGTGTGTTTCAGTCTTTTGGAGCAGCTTTGGGAGCGGGAGTAATGCGGTTTTGGAGCAGCTTTAGAGCAGTAAAAAGAAAGTTTTGGAGCACCTCTGGAGCACCAAAGGTGTGTTTTGGATAGTTTTGGAGGAAATTTCTCGGGTCACACATCATTGTTAATTAGAATTTTTGCATTCTGGTAAACACAAAAAATTTCAGTGATACTTACTGGTCACGTGACACCACCGGCGTAGCCAATGACATAGTGAGGGGGAGCAGCCAGCATGTTTCGGGCGCCTCCGTACCAGATAGTACAAAAGTAGGGCGCGGAGGAGGAGGGTAAAATCTGCGCGACAGAGACTCTCAAGCCGTCTGCACCAGTCTGCACTGCCATGCCTTAGCCTGGCGATGCTAGCGCGAGCATCGCTCGCTCAGCGCAGAAAAGGCCGCTCGGCGAGTGCGGATGAAAAGAGCACGCAAACACTCCGGTGGCGTCAGCGGTCTTTTGCCCGCGCCTCCGTGAATACGGATCCCCAAGTTGTTACTTCGCTCTAAGTGAAGCAAGCTATCACAATGCTTCGAGTAATCTGATCTAAAATATAGTATAGACACCTTATAACGTAACCCCTTATAGTGCAGAACCGCTTATAATGCGGTCTTTTTTTACTCCCGTTTGCTTTCCCATAGAACCCCACGCATACGCATACCGCTTATTGTGCAGTCCCTTAAGATGAAAGACCGGTTATAATGCGGTTGCCGGAAATTGTTTGTGACACACGCAGTAGCGAGTGCACTTCTCAAAGGAGGCGCGCTGGGTGCACCGCTGGGAAGCGAAAGACGAGGTCGTTACAAAGGAGGAGGGGACACGGAGTAAAGGAACGTAGAGCAGAAGGAAAAAAAAGAAAAGGAAAAAATTGCGGGACACTGCGTGGGCTCTCCGAGTAAGGGAGGAGGATGGTGGCCTAGGTGACCGATAAGCCTTTGCACTGAAAAAGGTTGTTTTGGTTATAGTGCGGTACTGCTTATAGTGCGGATATTCGCGACTCCCGCGACTTACTATATAAGCAGTCTATACTGTACACGTAGTGTGGTCGCGAGTGCGTGACATTTTGATAAAAGCGATAAGTCGAATAAAGTGACTTTGTTGTAACGAAAGTTTACTGTATCTGGTTTCATCGCCTGCGCACACATACACATTTCGTAGGACAGTCAGATTGCCATAAACTAAAGAATCGCCAACGTTTTTGGCATAATTATTAAATAATTTTGTTTCCATAAGCACCCTTCTTAAAAGAATAAGTTTTAATACTATGCCGCAATTCATCTTTCACGGTGGTAACTAATTTTCAGTGCTTTTTACATTCCAAGACATACATATTTACTCCACAAGAATAGTAGCCCAATAAGTACTAAAAGAAAGAAAATCTTTACCTTGGTTTCGTATGACGACTCAAACATCGAGGCAGTGGTGTCTGGAGTTCTGGCTGCCACTAAAAATTGAATAAAAAATTGTAGAAATACATGAGGCATTGAAAAGACATTGTAGAAATACATGAGGCAAATGAAATTTAATAACAGGAACTACTTCCACGAACCAGAAAGTAGCATCACTCTGCAATGCCACCAAAAGAAGCCGTTGTAATCTCATAACAGCTTTTGTGGCAAAACATGTGGGATATCGCAACTAAAGAAGGAGACTGGAAAACGCACCACTTTCTTCCTCCTCCTCGTTTTGGAAGACCGAGTCCCCTTCCTCAGCCAACCAAGGGCAGCTGTCATCGAGGCCAGCCCCTCCGCCTGTCCTTGACCTTGTTCCTACGCTCGGACTCGCGCTTGACAATGCGCACTGTCTTGATCTCTTGAGCACGGTCCCGAGGCAGCAACCCGTAGAACTTCTTGGTGCGGTCATCGGCCTTGCTGATGTCTTGCACCCCGTATGATGACCTGTCCTCAGGCACCTCGTTTGGCTCTGGCGAGAAGCTGGGGGACTCCAGTTCTGCGATCTGTGAAGTCTAAAATAAATGCGCAAAGTTTGGAAGGAGTGAATGCTGCAGCTTCCATGAGCAGAAAACAGGTAAGAGAATCTTGTGGCTGAGCTAACTCTTTCCAGGTCACTCATTAGCAAGTACCCTGGCAACAGATGACAGAACTGTGCTATAACATGAATGGCTCAGTAGTTTACTACAGTACTGATGCAAAATTTGCCGATCAGTAACTGGGGGTTTATAAAGTATTGACGTAAACATATTGATCCCGTATGATATAAACCAAGTTCGACTGCAGGCAATAACTATAAAGCAAAAAAAAAAAAGAACCATGGCCTGGAATGATGATTCTGTCTGCAACTAAGTCCCCTTATAGTGCATGACGAAGCCCATGAGGCACCACAAGCCATTATCTGCAAAACCAGCATCATACAACAGTTGTCTCAAGTTCACATTTGAATAACAGTTCACTGCACTGTTCTACAGGAATCATAATGATTCGAGTAATATAACAACAGAATATCAACTCACAGTGACTATGTCACACAAAGATGTCGGCCGGCTGTCCAGAGCAAGGTTACTGGTCACCGACGAGTCCAGATCAGTTTCGTAGTAAGTTTTCTGGTGCCGTTTCCGTTCAGGTACACCTGCTGCAGATGAAAAAAGCAAGAACACTGACATTCACGACAGAAAATTAAAACTATTTACACTCAAAAAGAAAAGCTATTTGCATAGCACAATCTGAAGTATCCAAGATAAAATGACTGTTGTAATCTCTCAGTATTACGTCCAGGTGTCTACATAGAACAACCTTGGCTTTATTTTGTTAATAAAGCTTGTTTATACCAGCCTGGTTAGTTTTGAGTGTTTTCTACCATTATGGTTAGCATGGCCAGTTAAGGTTAGCAAGGAGTTAAAATAAACTAGTAGGTACTCAACCTATTCATCATTATCTTTGTCTCTATCCGTCTACAGTTCATGTAATTTTTTCCAAGTGGTTCCATACAAAGGCCACAGTGTGGCAGAAAGTTGCGGGTATCATGGTTAACACAGCCTCCCACTGTACTGTACTGTACTTTCTGCACCGCCATCATGCAGCCTTTAAATCAGAATATCCTAAAGTTTCCACAGAGCACTTACCAGTCGGGCTATGCCTTGGTTCTGGGGGCTTTGCTTTCACTTGAGGCTCTTTCTCCACGTATGTGTCGGGAGGCATAGACACTTTACTCCTTCTCTGAAGCAGGTCATTCACAATCTTTTGAAGCCTTTTCAGCTCAACTTCCAAGTCATCCTTGAGAGGGCTCCCGCACTAGAAAAAAAGAAAGATTCATTTTCAATCGTGACCTCAGTTTCTTTCTTTATGCTGAAAAGGGGCAAAAGAATGTCAAAGGCTGAATATTAATGAAAAAAGACAAACATTGATGCCAAGGAAAGTATAGGGGTTGTTAATATCAAGTGATTGTAATGTAAACTTAAAGAAAGAAAAGTGGACGAAAATGGGACTGAACCTACGACCTTCGAAGGAACGATCAATGCCACGTGGCAGCAGTGGCAGCGTATTTTCGCGAAGTAGCGTATTGGGAAAGCCAGACGAGTTGCACACTCTTCCATCACATATCCTTGTTTCGCATTATCGTTTTCAAAAGCTCCATGGGAGAAAGCCATAATTTTTTTTTTTGTGCTATGTTGGTACCGCTAGTACTCATCATGAGACATGAACTTGCGATTGGCTTAGTTGACACTTGCAACGCGCTGTTTGCACAGGAAGACACATGAAAGACACAGGTAGGACGCACACGAGCGCGAAATAGCAACTGTTTATTTGATGGAAACATGACAAGTGTGTACATTCTGAAGGAAAGAAAGAAAGCATGAGCCTGTGCACTGCCCACGACGGGAGAGCAACAATCCATGCGAAAATCGTAAAATCTGGCCTTGTCAACTATCTAAATTTGCATGTAAAAAAGAAACTGCATCGTTGATCAAACTTCATCTGGTTGACAATGGCTCCTGCTGCAATGGGTAGCTAAGTTGCCAGGGTGACTAATGTGCTTATTGTTGTACATATGTTTACGTAAACATAAATTAAGCCACCTACTAGTTTGTCAAACGTAGTGTTTTTCGCAGTGACAATGGGATACAACAGTATACATCTTCTTCACATGGTATAAACTTGTTAACATGCTTAGCTGAACATGTATGGTTTTCCTTCTCATAGTGGCTATTTACTTGATGACATAGTGAAATTAATTTGCTAGGCGCCATGAAGGTCATGGGTACGCTGTACCTGCTAGTGATCTCTGAGAGGCTCCTAAAGACCGTCAGCAAGATGTATAAGACGGATGTCCAGGGAGAGGCCTATAGTTATTCTCTATGTCCACGGTATTTCACACGGACTGAAAACGATCACAAGTAGCTACGACATACCCATAACCTTCACAGCCACCTAACAAATTAATTTAACTGTGTCACCAAGTAAACGACCTTAATAAGAGGGAAAACTATACATGTTAAGCAGTTAACAAGTTTGCACTGAGTCGAAAAGATGTTCTACATTCTATACCTTTGTCCTGTGATGAACAGTACAGTTGAACCTCGATATATCGAACGGCGCGGCGATCGCGAAATAGTTCGATATATCCAGAATTCCATATAAAAAAAATCACGAAAAAATTGCGTCAACAGCTTGCTGAAAACAACCAACGAACCGTTCAAGTGTGGTGCAGTAAATACTCACTTGAATATTCAGACATAGTATTTATTGTGTTGGTTTAAAATATTGAAAAAGAGTAGCCTGCTTTTTTTTGTCGGCCATGGCGTGTTTGACGACTGCGTCCTCAATATAGTCCAGGCGATCCATAAGTGATAGGCCGGTGCCTTCAATCGCTCCGCAGTGGCGGCGCACAAGGGCCAAGGCAGCTACGACCTCAGCTGATGTCGGGAGCGGGGCACCATCAGCGCTTGCGAGATACACCTCGGCAGAGTGTTCATTTGGCTGCTCAACAGTAGTTTCGGCGACAATCTCCACATCCGTGAGCTCCGCCGTTCGGAGTTAGGCCTGTCGCGCACCACAGCGCGCGACAGGCCTAACTCCGAACGCACGAACACTGCGAGCACAACGACCGATGCCTGCCGATGCTACGGGAGAGGAGCTTGCAAGAAGTGGTGGTGGTAGTGATTGTAAGGAAGAGGAAAAAGGCGCCTAATTTCTGTCCGCCTTCAGGCGACACGGCGCAGTGCCTTATAGGGGTGGGGGGAAGGAGGGATAAAAAGAATAGAAGGAAATAGATGAAGAAATAGGCAAGCCATGGAAAAAAGAAGGAGATAGGAAAGTGGGGATCTGGTCGAAGCAGTCCAAGGGCAGGGCACCACAATGGGAGAGCTGCACGGCGTCAAGAGACCGCGGAGGGCGAACCAGTCGGCGGGAGCTACGCTGGCGTCGGAGATCGCGAGGGCACAACCGTCCAGCTTGAAATCCTGCGAGCGAATTCTCCCAACAGGTGCGCATTGTGCCGTTGACACCATAGAGACACAGAACACCTACCAGATAGAGACTGCAACGACTGCAAGCTGCAAAGCTGCGGCGCGCGTACGCCGCTACCTTAAAAGTGGCGCTCTTGGCGCCATGGACGTGTGCAGCATTCGTAAACGCCCGCCGCTCTACCGCTACTTTCGAGAGTTGCAGGAAAGCTCGCCGCCTGTCAATGGAGCGCGGGCGGTTTGGGGTGGCTGAGTTCGATATATCCATTATATGTCAAACTTTGTTCGAAATAAAAAATCAATAATGCATGCGATTTTCCGCATGATATAGGCAATAATTCGATATATCCGTGTTCGATATATTGAGGTTTGACTGTACATTGCACAAACTGGTAGGTGCCTTAATTCACATTTACACGAGCAACATCACAGCAATAAGCACATCAGTCACCCAGGTAACTTAGCTACCCATAGCAGCAGGTGACATTGTCAACCAGATCTCGAAAAAACTACTGTTGTATTGCGATCTAAAGACACGAAAGAAAGAGAAATTATTGAAGCTTTCGCTATGCGCGAACTTGGTGAAGATATGTGTGTCAATGCACCATCGATACATTTGACTGATGATGAAGTTTTTTTTACATAGAAATTTAGATAGTCGAGAAGGCCAGCTTTGGCGATTTTTACTGAGACGATTGCTTTCTTGTCGTGGGCAGTGCGCAGGCTCCTGCTTTCTTCCTTTCCTTCACGTATTTGTCACGTTTCCATCAAATAAACGGTTGTTAGTTTGCGCTCGTAAGTGTCATACCTGTGCCTTTTATGTGGCTTTCTTCGTGTGCAAACAGCGCGTCGCAAATGTAAACTGTGTACAACCAACTAGCCCATGCGCTGGCCCTCCTTGCGATTGGCAGTTGGCATGGGGCTAAGCAGGACCTAATGTGTAAATGAAAGGTGGGCAGACACAAAATGGCTGATAAATGTAGTAGCAGGCAGCAAAGCTGTTTCACGTGTGGCAGCCGTGATTTGACCGTTTAAACAGAATAAAAAAGCATGAATTTGTTTTTCCAGACAGCCCAATCTTATGAACGAATTCTCAGTTTTTAGGAAGCCCAAAAATTCAACCTATTATTGTTTCAAGATGGTGAAAATCGAACACAGCAAGAGTGCTTTAATTCGAACTTCAAGAGGATGCTCATCGAGTTCCACTTACACGAAGTTTGAACCAACAAAAGTGATAGAACAAAAGATATCTATTACAATGAAACCAGTGGAAACATCCCACAAACCATAAGCTGTTCCTTATCTTAGAAATACATGATCCCCCACACCCTTTCTGTTTTATTATTTTCTAGAAAACTGATCACTGTCTCGAAAGCTCAAGCTATTTGGTAGAGCACCCTGCTGTTATGTTCCTCAGTGCCGAGTTTTACCAGCTGGTATATCATTCTCTGCTGGTATTCGCATAGCTCCCATAGCATTCCATGTATTGGGAGCCCCTCTGTTACATTGCAACTGCGGGACTGTTCCCAGATGATAGTATGTCATAATGTGCACTCTGAACAAGCCGAGTGGCCATGGGAAAGTGTGGCCCGTTGACTTTTCAATCTTTGCAAAACGGAATCATGACACACTGTAAACGCGTAATTTGAAAGCACAGATGCCAATCAGCTGACTGTGCCTGTCTGGGAAAGGATAAACAAATAAACTACACTAATTTGTTCTCAGAACTCGATCCTTTCTTGCTTTGGTTGCTTTAGCTTGACTACGAGGTACTTGCGCCAGGCGGCAGGTGTATAAGGTAACATCAAACTCGACGAATATCGCGATGCTTGTTCCCTTGAGGGTTCATTTCAAAAAGGTGCAAAGCCTGTATCGTGTCGTCACTAGACTCGATATAACTTCAGTTTTACCAGAGTTCATCCAACATGGCCGAGAGTGACTTTCCTAGTTTTGCCCACCGCTAAACACTCTGAAATGTCAATTGAAGTGATAAGATTACTTTGACCGATTCAACCATTAACATGAGTAGCGTTTAAGGAAAGCCTGCTGCGCACATGACGCAAATGATCGCTAGAAAAAGTGCATATATGAACTAAAAGAACTCACTGAAGTGCTCTCAGCAAGCATGTTTTGGATATGGAGAATTTCCTTTTCAATCAGCAGCTGCTGCTTCTCCAATGTTTCAGCCTCCAGGGTGTCCGCATAAGTGTCCTCATAACGGTAGTCTTCGCCCTCGTCCATTTTTTTCTTCTAGAGCAAGAAAACAACAAAAAACAAAATGGTACAACCAAACGACAGATAAGTCAAAGAAAACCCTCACTACTTCTTCACAGAGAGACTTATTTTTGCGCTGAGCCCAGCAAAGCACTACTTCTTGAAAACGTATAACGATATCATTTTTCTTCTTGAAGCAACAAGGCAATCAGAACTCAGTGCAACGCCTCACCCACTGCCCAGGCGGCATGGCAAAACCAATATGCAATTAGGGTACGTCTCGCTCCTTGTACATGCTTCTGCCCCCACCCCCCTTTTTCCGTTCCTTTTACTAACCAACACTTGAACCCCATTCGACAAACGAACCTATCTCGATAGCCCCCTCCTCTTGTTTTAATTTCCTCCTTTGTATATAAGCTTTCTGTTCACCTCTTCAGCTTTTGAGGTTGGGGGAGAGAGTGAGAGAAGCGCACGTCGTAATCAGGCGCTAAGGAAGGAAGTTGCTGCCTTGATGAAGACAAGTGCACTTGCTAAAACGATGACTACCCCGACATTCGTTTTTCCATCACTACAAAACTCTATCATCCCCTGATCTTCTGTCCCGTTTGGATTTCGGCCTCATAGTGCTTCTGCCATAAGACCATGACAATTATAGCAAAGACGACGTGCTCTCTCTCTTCACGCATTATCATGATGAGGAAACTATTTATGAAGACTTCTCAAAATGGGCTCCAATTACACACTGATATGAGACCAATTCAGTAATTGTTCAACAGAACCACTAATACCCCTTCAATAACAAAACACGCTTTGTATCTTTCGTGAAAACCGTAGATTTTGCAAGAGCCACTTTAAGGGGGCCCTCAAAAACTGATGAAGCACCTATTTTTTATTTGTGGTTTGCATAGACCGATAGCTGGAGATAATTTTAGCCTAGGTCTAAACGCCGATATCAAATTATTTAGTATTTTATTCATGCAATAAAATCGCTACATTGCTGCCGACTGCATCACCACGTAGTGGCACTCACCAGGCGGGAAGAAATGACGCTGGAAGGTTGCCGCCATATAATTGGATAAAAGTAACAATGTTAGAAGTGATCTTAGTGTAGGATCAAAACTGACTGTTACAAAGCTGTTTGATTTTATTTTCGGTGAATTTTTCATCGCACCTTGGAACAAACGCGGCCACAATAACAACAACAAAAAAGGTCACTGCGACTACAAAGTACGACAGAGACGCTGGCTGCCATTTCGCCACTGGATTTTTGGTTTGCGCGGGTCATATATCCATATGAAAGACCCCTCTTTCTCTGTTGTCCCTCTTCTTGCTTTTGGGAATTTACGAGCTGTCTCTTTCCGCACGTGCGCCGTTGAAGGGGTGCAGTGCACCATTGTTGTTCGTTGGGCGGCTCACCGAACAGCGCGCGAAAGGTCAACAGTACTTCGCTGTCCTGGTCATTCCACAAGTTCCTTTTTCAGAATAAGACAAGGAAGTGACTCAGTATGTTGCAGAAAATACCTTGCTTCAACATAGTGCACAGGTCAACATTACTTGGAAAAAAAAAAAAAGGACAAGCAAGAATGGGGTGTGAGCTTCCTCTACGTACGCACTTCCAGCTTATTTCACTGGGGCAGCCTTCCAATGTCATAGGCAAGTGAAATGCGGTTAAGTGACCCCGCGAAAATCGAAGTGAGGGTCGGCATTTTTTTTTTCTTGTATTTTGAATTTTCCTAGTCGAATAACTTCAGACTGCGTGCCGTTATCACTGCCGTTCTTGCTGCATTAGTCTGTCTGTACTTTAGTCTACACAACCCACGAATAAAACATGGAGGCTTCTATAGTGTTAGAGGGCCCCTTTAAAGAGAGGTTTGCAAACCTGACATGGTCAGCAGCAACTTGCACAAGTAGGTCTATTCTGAGCAATCAGTGGTGCTCATGCTGTCACAGCCAGGGTGCACCAACTATTTCAAGTTCTAAAAGACAGGGCTTGCACAAACACAAAAAAGAAGTCAAAACACCACAAACTCCATCTGTGTTGTCTTCTTTCTTGCGTCCTGTGTCGGCACGCCCTTACTTTTAGAATGGGTACTTACCAACTAGCTCAGCTTTCCGCCATTCCTACCATTCTGAAATACTATTTTCCCTTGCCGGCAATGCACCAATACACCAACAGCAGTGCAACACAGATACTAGCCCCCTGTTGCCCTCACCTGCTTGGTGATGCCAGCAACAGTGTACAGACTGCCAAGCTTGACCATGTTCTCAACAAGGCTGATGAGTGGCTGAGTCAGGTCCAGGTTCCTTGTCAACTCATTTAGGCTCCTCTGGAGGCCCACCAAACGCTGAACATCAGCTGCGCTATTCTGTGTACCACTGCATGGGTCAAAAGACACATGCAGCACTTCAACATCTTACATTCAATATGCAACACAAACACCACTCAAAACTTTTGCGGCAGAATGTACTAGGTCTGTTAGAAAAGTATCCGACCTTTGATGGAAGAAAAAAACAAAAACTGGCATAATTGGAGCATTTGAAATTTAATTACTCTCAATGTAGTCCCCCTGGTGCTCCACACACTTCTCCCAGCGGTGCTGTGATTGTTTGAAGCATTCTGAGAAGGCCGGTTTCGGAATGGAGTGAAGCTCAGCTGTTGTTGCAGCCGTAATGTCCTCCCTTGTCTGAAATCGCTCTCCTTTTATTGTCCTCTTGTGTTTGGGAAATAGCCAGAAGTCGCAGGGGGCCATATCAGGACAATAAGGAGCCCATTGAACTACAGGAGTCTGACTTTTCGCCAAAAATGCCTGAACCAAGTGTGAGGAATGCGCAGGAGCACTGTCGTGATGGATTCGCCAGTTTCCTGTTGACCACAACTCAGGTCTCTTGCATCGCACAGTATCACGTAGGCGACAGAGGGCATCCCTGTAGTACTCTTTGCCGATTATTTGACCCTGTGGTGCGTACTCGTGGTGTACCACACTGCAGAAGTCAAAGAAAGCACTCAGCATCACTTTGACATTGCTGCACACTTGACGGGATTTCTTTGGTCTTGGTGACGTGGAATGCTTCCACTCTGACGACTGGGATTTGGTGTGCGGGTCGTACACATACACCCAAGACTCATCACCAGTGGTAATGGTGTTCATGAAGTTAGGGTCACTGCTTGTGAAATCCAGCACGTCCTGTGAGACTTCACCACGAAGTTGCTTTTGCTCCGATGCGAGCTGTTTCGGCACAAATTTTGCCACAACTTTCTTAATGGCCGAATCTTGGGTCATAATGGAATGTGCAGAGAAAGTGCTGATGCCCACCTCTTCTGCAATTTGGTCCCATATCACCAAAGTGTTCACTTCGGCAATGACCTGGTCATTTCGGCGTGTTGATGGCCGACAGGAGCGTGGTTCATTCTCCACCGATGTGTGGCCGTCTTCAAACCGGTTGTACCACTCCTTAATCTGTGTGCGGCTCATAGCGGCGTCACCGAAAGCCGTCGTGATCTTCCCAATGGTTTCCACTTTCCTATCGCCCAGTTTATTGCAAAATTTGATGCAGCAGCGCTGCTTCAGTCGCTCCGTCATTTTCCTTGCAATGAAAAACCGACAAGAGCACTGCACACTACCTCATTCAGACGCTGTGTCCAAGCGACTGAGGCTATTGGTAGGTGGGGGAAAATTCACGCATGTGCACGAAGGTTCAAGATTAGCTGAAGCAAGCGTGCTTGTTTCAAACCCATCATGTGCTCGCAAAAAAAAAATAATAATAAGGTCGAATTCTTTTCTAACAAACCTTGTATATCAGCAGAAGACATGAAATGCCTTAATAATAAAGAAGTCAAATGCCTTAATAATTATCTGTCATAGAGTCCTGCACACGTGATGGATTGATAGGTTTGCCTTTAGATATGCATGCGTAAATAAGTTTTTGCGCCTTTCTTCTTTCCCCCGTTCTACACCTTTGCACTTGTTAGTAGTTGATGTTTGTGGAGTCTTTATCTTCTACTAGTGCCTGTGTCTTTTAGAATAAATTTATTTGCACTGACATATTTTATTTTCAGCTATGTTTTTGTACTTATCAGCCTCACAATTTCATTCAATCATGTGCTTCGGAACAACCTCATTATGAGTATTTTGAAGCCTGTTTTTGATCCCTTGGCCTCCACACTCTCATTAGCCCGTCCCGCCTGGTATTCCGCAGGAATAATTTTTGCACCCAAAGGCAGCATAAGTCGGTGTATATAAATCGCAATAAAATCGAGAAGAAATCATAGAATAACCAATCTTATTTTATTCTGTTACTAATGCTTCACTGCACTGACTGTTTCAGTATCACTTTGATGTGTCAAACACTTTGAAGCACACAGGTATGCGATAAGCAACTCTGTATTTCTCGCTGTTTGATCGGATCTCGGACCATGTGTCATGTGCCTTGCAACCTAAGCACAACCTTGCATGATTTTTTTTTTTAATTTCTTTGACAGGATCTGACGAGAAAACTGAGCCCACTCAGTGGCTAGTCGGCACAATGGTGAGGTAGTGACAGGCTGGTTTTTGCGCAACACCATGTTACAAAAAAGCCGGGAATGTACACCCTTCACCGCTAACAAATTACAGACGCACACAGACAGCTTCAACAACGGACAACTACGTCCATCTAGCAAAGAACATATCTGACAATTAGCAAACGTCTAATAATGTACCGCCACCCATGAAGCATTGCCAAAAACAACGATTTTCCAAGTGGCCCGCGATTCACCAGTAGAAGCGCTTTCGGCCTTGCCATCACTAACCGTTGAATTGCCGGCTGCAGAAGCCATTGGGTTAATGACTAAATAAAGTCTAATTGAATTATTAATTCATTTATCAACTGATTGACTGTGAACCCTTTCTGGACCAAAAGTTTCTCCATAAATCATCCATAATTTTACAGAAAGTATTCAACATGGAGAAAAAGAAAACGCTAAATGAGACCCCGATAACAAAACTTGCGAATTAGGGGCTGCAAATAAGAGCAGTAGTACTCTCTGTGCATCCCGAATATCCATGCGCCATGTTACGCTAGGGTATGGCCTCTGAATACCAATTTTCGAAGCAATATGCCTAAGCGATGTCATGAAAATAGACTCATCAGAATATTCTTGGACTGTTTGTCCCACTGTTAAGAAGGTCAAATAACTTGAAAGAATTATACACGACCTGAAGCATCTTGACATGTTAGCCAAGAACGGCGCTGAAAAAAATTCTTTTTCCCTCATTTTTTTTTTTTTTTCAGAACTGTCGCACTACTTTCCAGCACAAAAAATGCGATATCGTAGTGCACAGACCTCTGAACAAGCTTTTGCTTCAGCTCATGCAGCTCCTCCTTGCACTGAAGTTGGCACGACGATAAGTTGCTCTGACTTCTTCTCAGCTGTATCAGGAGAAGGACAAGTTCTTCATGCTGTAAGAGACAAAAACAGAAACGCGAAATGTAGTGTAAACAACACGAGTCGAAGTTAGTGGAAGTGCCGGCTACTACGTTTCCACAACCAAGAATTCAACTAGGATTCTCTCCTTTCAGCTCGCCACTGTACTGATTTTTCCAAGCACTACTTCTACTACTTGTCGAGACAAACGAGTCTCAACTCGCTGTGCATTTGCTTCATTAAGTGTAACCATCCTTAAATAAAGAAATACCCCCTCAGGAACCTATGCACTACAAAGCTGGTTACACCCTTCATGTCTCTTTTTGGTCATGCAACAGCACATGTCATCTGGCTTGCTTCCATTCAGTTTAAAAACTGGTGATTGCCACTCTCCTATCAGAAATGCTCCGTCCCACCATTTGAGAGTTGCAAGCGCTGGCCACTCTGTTGAAGCAAGGAAAGACAAGCAAGATAAACGAAAATCATAGTTATACTGCAAAAATGCACCAAAAATGAACACTGAAAAAAAAAGCCAGGCCTGAGTAAAAAAAGCAGCACAGTTACAACGAAAGCTGAAAGAGTACCATTTCTAAAGCCCGTTACAAACTCTCCTGGGACTACTAATACGTGTACGCTCGCAAGGTACTCACTGCTCCCTTAATTGATTCAATGGCTAACGACGATAGAGAATCATGGCTGAGCCCTTTACAATTGATTGGAAGCATGCAACAACCCTCTCGCAATGCAATTCATATTGTGTCATGCCTGGTAAAACAATTTGCTCTCTGTGCTGCCTGGTTGTTATTTTACTCTTCTACCACATTATATTGCATATGTTAACACGGTTTCTTCCCAATATAATACTTGTATTGTGTTTTTGTGTGCAGGAGTTCCAAGCATCAGCGTGGCTTAGTGACAGAATACTGGGCAGGCACACAGAGGACCCAAGTTCGAATTCAGTTCTATCCTAGATGTTTTTTCTTTATTTTGTGCGATATCTACAGACAACAGCGGCCGCAGATGACTGCAGCCCCCATGTTGTGATATCATAACAGCTTTCACTCTAAAATGGGAAAAACAACAAAGATATTCGAATTCCACGAAATACAAGACTGTTCTGACAGTTGGCTGTATTTTTGGAGGATTGTTAGTGTGCTAGGAGCTGCGCATTAAATGGCCATGACATCAAGTGTTGCAGCGGTAGAAGCCGCATGCACACTTTCTTGTCTAGCTACTTCCATATTTCCACTTTTCCTATACATGCCACTCTCCCCTTTCCAAAGAAAAAAAAAAAAATGTTAGACCTGTGCTGAAGGCGCAGCACAGTCGCAGCGAAAGCAATAACCCTTTCAGAGCTTTTTCAAAACACTCATTTGGTAACTACTGCAAGCATACTTGCTTGATACCCACTAGGGCATTAATAATAAACGTCTGGGTGGCAGGCCGACATTTGCTATGCTATTTTTCATCATTCTTCTCAGAAGCACAGTATCCGCTAAACACTTGCAAGGAATTTCCTGCCAATTGTTCATCCAGTGGCTGACGACGATGAGTAATTATGGCTGAAATGGGTATGTGCCACAGTTTATAGGGGAAGAAGAACAAGCTTTTGTAATGTGTTGGAGCATTGGATGGCCCACTCGTTACGCTATTCACATGGTGCGACGACTGGTTGTTTTTTCGCTGTTTTAAAACGCTTTATAAGTCGTATTAACGCAATTGCTTTCCCGACATCAAGCCTGCCTAAGGCAAGTTTGCCAACAAGTCACAAGCACCAGCATAGCTCAGCTCAGTGGTAGAATACTGGGCTGGCACCCAGCGGACCCAAGTTTGAGCCCCACTGTGTCTTTGGTGCTAGGTTTTTTGCCAATTTCACACTATAAGGTTATGGACACCAGCGGCGGTGGCAGACAACTATCATAACAGCTTTCGCTGTAAAAAAGCTCTGAGATGTGTCTCAGCCAGGAGCATAGCTCGCTGCTGGTGCCGTTGACACTGGTTCTAAGAACTGTAGTTGGGAGTAAGGTGGTTTGAAAGTGGGGCTAGGTTGTATCGAAAATGCATGTATCTGATATATTATCATAAATACTCTTTAAGTATCTTGTAGTATTTGTATTGCGAAACATCTCGCAAGACCAGTATCTGTATCTCCATTACCTTCGATAATGTATCATGTATCCTAAGATACAAGACACTGAGGACTCATGCGAAAAATTAATGCCATGCAAAAAATTAATCGCTGACTGAACTCCAGCTTTCAGGCTGGTACTGGTGCCACTAAGCCACCTGAATAAAACTAAGAGCATTGACAACTTTATTTCTTCGCCCGACTCCTCCAGCCAGGGCAGGCTATCAGGTGTGGAAGAGCAACACGACACGACAGATTTCTACAGTTTTGACAGAAACTACGTTCACAAGCTCGCCCCCATGCCTTTAGTTTTCGAGATTTCTTCCCTGGTGCTGTATCTAATAGAACAAGTGCTCACCTATTAGAAGGTTTCCTGGCGTACCATTCTGCTTTGTTCCTGTTGTTTCTATTCAAGGGGATCTAGAAACTATATTATGGTTGTTAGCACAAGTGCGTTCTCAGTTGTCCTTCTCTAGTATCCCATTCATCCCCTAGTGCTCAGAACTGTATTTTGTTTCAGATTCCTGAACACAATATGCCTTTTGTAAAGCGCAGCTAAAACAAGTGCACTGCTTTACCTTTACCTTTCATGGCCTGCTTTATTTTTCTACTACACACATTTATATACACACTCTTCTGCCAAGCCGATTTGGGAAATGAATTTGTCATTACGGAGGCATGCGTTAAGTAAGCACCAAATATTCTGCTTACTGCTGGGTGAAATGGCCCAAAATTGAGTTTGCATCATAATGATTGGAATATTTAGTAACCATATTAAAGATCTTAAAAAAGAAATTCTAGAAACATTGTTATGTCCAATGGCCCGTTTTTCTTATGAATGTCCCAACGAGCCATTTTAGGCAATTTTCCACGGGCCCTAATTTTTTTCATTGCCTTGACTTAACAGGTAACTTGATGACACTTCATGCTTAATTGTCATAGCTTTTAGGAGTGCCACCTGTATCGTGCATCGCAACTTTTTCACCACGAATACCTTAAACAGAATGCTTTTCCGTTTTTGTCATAATTGTTTTGTAGTCCTCTCTATTTTTTTTTTTAATATTACTAATTGCCAGGTAGATATAGGCGGCAACAGATCGTGTAGCAGCGTAGTCCTGCGACCATTTCTGAAACTATCCTGCCACACCTTATTATCCTTCTTTCATTTTGGTGTGATCATTTATAAGTCACAAAAAAATTATGACCACTCGGCGCAAGCCGCCCACAACATTTCGTAAATTCTAGATTGTCTCTGATTGTGCTGCTATGATTACACACAATGCTAAAGGCACACGTACTTAGACTTCATTGTGTTTTAATGAACATCGCACGGTCAAAATCTCCAGATCCCTCCACTTCTGTGTTCCTCGTAATCACCCCATTGTACTTTAAAACATAAAAACTCAACCATTATTATTGCAGATTACCCACAGTATGCGTACTCTTGTAAATTTGCGAGCTTACACATGCACCAGCGATGCTGGAAGGTGTGATAGCTGCTGTATAAATACAAAATGCCGATGATAAGATTTCCGAAACTATTTGCCGCTGTCCAAGAACAGTGCACTTTGCTTGTTCTTTGAATTACTTGGAACAATTTCGCTCATTAGTGAGTTTCGTTTCTACCAGAGTGACTACTGCGGTCTTCATGCTTACCACCATGTGACAATGCAGTAGGCCTGAGATGTTTCTTAGGTGCACGTGTTCTCTCACTCAAGAAACTTGATTGCACGTTAATGAGTACTATATAAATAAAGAATGATTTATGCTAGCTGATAAAAAGAATAAAAAAAGTAATAGCAGCTGTATGCGCTCTACATAGGCCTATATGCACAGTGTTCCACAAGAATGTTGCTACCAGCGTTGTTGCTGCGGTACACTGGTGATTCGGTATTGCCACAGTCTTTTATGGACAAGCTAAAATTGCACACCAATATCTGCGTCATCGTGCCAGGGCTTCTCATTAAAACTCGCGTGACTAAATGGCAGTCTACTAGCTGGTCTGCGAGCTCAGAAGCGGCTCCCATCAATTACATAAATGACAAGCAAAAACCGCTGTCAGCTGAGCTGTCCTGTTCATCAGCTAGAACAAACCCTAACAAGTTCTTCAGAAGTGCGCTAATTTACTTTGGGAAAAAAGGCTTTTAAGCTACCAACAAACATTTCATTAAAATGAAATTGAGCGCATTTCAGAAACTTTCAAGCCGTCGTTTTTGTGCATACGCATTCGCTATTAGATTGTGTATGTATTGAAGTATCTTAACTATTTCACTACCATGCCTATTCAAATCGATCACCGATGATCGACGCTTTTCGGTCATTGATTCTGGCATGTTAAATTTATTTCTCGTGCACCCAGCCCTTTCTAGTAGTTAGTTTGGCCACTCAACTTTCAGAATTTTTTTGAGTTTGCCGACTTGGGAAACATAGCGATTTTTTACAGACTTTTGCGCGAACCAATGTGCGTGTGTAGATGTGAAAATGCACTAGGTTGGCGAACTTGACAGAAGTGCATGCCCCCTCATGATGATGCAACAGTAACATCAAAGTTTATGCAATAAAAAGAAACTTTGCAAGCCAAATATCGAATTTATGTGTTAGCTTTGCAGTTTGACTGAGTTAAGCAGTAATAATTGTCGGAAATTTATGCCAGCTAATCAATTGAGAGCTGTTGCTAGAAGACAGGGAAAGTTGATTCTACAAAAACATTTCTCAAGGTCCGCCGCATGTATAAAGTGTGCAGGTGGCTCTCACAGCCAGTTTTCAGCCACTTTGGGTTTGCTTGTATCATTATATCAGACACAGGGTTACATCTAGTGTCACTAGACGCTCCTATTGCACAGTCATCACGTGTGCATGGGTGCACATCGGCGCTGCAAAACACATGCGCTGCTTGAAACTGTCTTGCGACCCCACCTGAATTGAGTGAGAACGAGCGGAGATTTCATGGATAACAGCACCACCTCAGCTTCAAGTTTTATGGAGACGATGTTTTGCGTCAGACTGAGACACTCTTAGCCGTTCATGGGTTTGTTTTGTTTACATCCTCAAGTTATCTCCTCTGCCGCAAGTGCGTATAGCTTTTGATCTTTGTGCACAATCTTATGGCTACTCTGGTTACGTGAATGGTCCACACTTCGCTGGAGGGCAGTGTACTGGCGCTGGCTGCAGAGCTCCTAACGACAAGGCCCCCGGAGCACATCTTGGCCCCGACTATGGAGCAGTGCGAAACATTTTAGAACTGTGCGCGATATTGTCCTTTTTTATTACAATATGCTCGAAGATGCAAAGGAATATGCTTGGATGCATATATTGGAACGCCAACCTGTGTGGAGTGAAGTGGCTCATGGAAAGAGGTGACGCTAGATGAAATAGCGAAGTTCGTTGGACATCTCATTTATAGAGGGATTACTCACATTACTGGTATCTATCTATTGGTATACCTGGACACTTTTATCGCACGGCAACAAAAATTTACTGAGAAGAGTGTACGAGTACACTTGTGTCTCATGAAAAACCATGCAATGCTTCACTGCATGCATGGCATGAGCAATGAAGCAGCACCTCGGTTCTGGTTTTCGTTGCTAATGTGAAGAGAAACATTCTGTGCAATATTAATTACTTTTATACTGTTTCTGGGTCATTTATCTACAAAATGTATATTCTGAATTTTCTTTGTTTTGAATATTTTAGCATTATAGTGTTTTTTATTGCACTATTTACCAGCTGAGATGAAAAATTTCACACTTCTCACATTTTTACTCAATATAAAATATTTTTGTTGCTCTACAACATCTATTTTTCGAAAGAGCATTTCATTCTGCAAAGTTCGGTATGCTACAATGCAAGCTGGAGTACTTTTCAAACTGGCAAAAACGATCTTCCTGAGACACATGAAAAACAACCATTCTCGCGCAGTACTGAAAGAGTTAAGATATAACTGGCAAGTATCGTATTGGATAATTTTTGCAGCAGTATCTTGTATCTGTACCTCTTGTATCTCTAATACTTTTTGCTTGAGTATCTCGTATCGTTTCACGATACAATTCTGATGTTTGCCCAGCCCTCGTTGAAAGAATGCGTAGCTGGGTGAGTTGGTGCATTCTCTAAAAATAAAAAAAAGTGCAAAAAAAAAAAGACGGGACAGAGGGGACAAGTAGACAGGAATGGGTGCTCACTACCAACTACTCACTACCCCAGTTCTTTCGTAATTAAATCAGTTGGTAGTGAGCGTTGGTTGAAAGACATAGGAGATTGATGGCACTGCTGGCGCGCCTATTTCTAGAGATGTTCAATGTCACCTCTAGTACATGGCGCGGCTGCTAAACATGACAGTTTGTGAAAAATACATTAAATCTTCGGCGGCAAATCTTAATGGGGGAAATTTCGTACAGTATCTCGTTAAAAATTGCCACTGTTTTTGGTGTGCGGGATGTCGTTGCTATAAGCAAAAGTAAGAGCTACTAAAAGCAAACACCAGGCTTGCGCAGAAAACGCCGCACATTCACAGCAGAATGTGGAAGAGAAACATTTGTAGAAGCCATTGTAAGCTCCCTTGGGGGGCTACTAATAAAAGTATGCTCACAAGGTACCCGCTACATTATAAATCATAACTTTTTTTCAAGTTGCGAAGCACCCACTACACCTATATTTGGCATTCTGCAGCCAGGACAATGCTTTGTTGATGGGGTGGCTAATAACAATGAAGAATATTGGCTGAGCCCCTTGTAATTGATTGGAAACATTCAACTACCCGTTTGTTCTGCAATTTGTATTGCGTGGTGCCTGGTTACACAATTCTCATCTAGCACACTATATACTACATACAGTATAATGGTTCCTTTCCGACATGCCTCAACAAGGACATTTTGTGAAGGGGTTTCAAGCACTGGCATGGCTCTGTGGTAGAATACTGGGCTGCTACAGAGAGGGCAGAAGTTCAAACTCTGTTCCATTCAGGATATCGTTTCTTATTCCTTTTTTTTTTTAATTCGCACAACAGCAGTTAAGGACACTGGCATCGACAGAAAACTATGGCGCGAGAAACGGCCCTTGTTGTGATCCCTTGTTGTGATCTCATCAGCTTTCACAGTAAAAAAAAAAAAAAAAAATCACAGGTGCTGCAAATGGTCAACACAGACTGTTGTACGCATTGGCTCACAGAACATAGGTTTTTGAACTCATCCTTGCAACCTGCATAAAGAAGTACAGCTCAAATATACAGTGACAGCAATTGGGCCAACTGGTACATACAGTACAAGTGTGAAGACAACTTGCAAAGACAGGTGCTTCATTTTGTTGTCCTGTCATTGCATGCTGTTTTCGAGCTTATACATATGTTTGCATCGAGACAAACTAATCCACCAAGCAAAGTGAAAAAGGCAGCTCTGTCAAGCCCTCGGTGTAATGTCAGGGAATCAAACGACAGAGTCATCTCAGGACTCGTAATGCAGTCAAACGCCTTTATAAGAGACACTGATGTTGGATACAAATGGTTATAAAAGACACCAGTATGCCTATAGTAAAAGGGGGGTTGTTATGAAAATACATACATGATACCCTGCTTAAAAAAGACGCCTCTTATAAAAGACAAGAATTGCACTCCGGTACATGTCTCTTGCAAAGGGGTTTAACTCTACCAGTCTCACACGGCGTTGAAAGGTTTAGAAGGACAATAGTCTAAACTCCACTGAAACTTCAATGGCCATTAGACAGAGGCAACGAAGGCGGGAACAGCACAAATGTGACCTTTCGTCTGCATTGTACTTGTTTATATTAGTAAAAAAGAAAAATAATGAAACCGGTATGCTTTAAAAGCAGTATATGTGAAGGTTATGAGTTCTTTAATAGGGTATTTCTGTCACTTGAAATGGACAAACCGCACATAATCTCAACAAACCATGTACGTTTCTTCAGTGTGCTGTCTTGCTATGTATTGTTCGCCACAGCTTTGCTGCCCAACAACTTAAAAGTAAATAAGCATTCATAACTATTAATAAACTATTTATTGAAATATTTAAGCAACATCAACACACATATCCGAGTAAGCTTACATGATTCCGTTTACTTAGCTGACACTGATTACGAAAATGCATATCCACAGCCCCACACGATTTTTGCCATAAACGCCTGAACCACTTCCATGGCTGTTCAAAACTGCCTTGTAGCAGAGCAACAACTCCATTGAGTTGATAGAGTTGTGGCATTTCGATGGCCTTTCAAGAAGGTCAATGTGACACAGGTATAAATTATCAAGACAATCTAAAAACGTTTGCAGTGTGACTGAGGCGTAATGCCAAGAGGCTTATGGACATTTCAATCAAAACGTCACACGCATAGATTGCGATGTCAGACCAAGCACAACATGTATTTCATACTTACGCTTTTTCCGAGCAGATCACCAGCCGAAATGCTATGACTAAGGCTTTTACTTGATGGGGATGTCGGCTGAGAGGCCCTTTCAGGTGACTGCAGAGAGCGAGCACAGCATTGAAATTGTGCGCTAGGGCAATGTGACAGTCAAAACTACATGATCACAGTTTACTGCATGTACTCACGTTTTTTGATTGAACTTCTGTTCCATGGCCATGCAGATTGTCAATACTATGCCGGTGCAGATCACTTTGAGCAGCAGATTTCTGAAGTCATTTGACCAGCAGCGCTTACCTGGAAAAAAATTACAAAAGAAAATTAAAAAGTCACAAGAAGGCATGGTGCTCATACACCACAGGGTTCTAACGGCAAATATATACAATAGTATTTCACGACAAAATCACAAAGATGCATCAACATGCACACTCGAAAATGAAACAAAACCATGCAGGTATGTAGGGCCAAACAAGTAGGAATACCCTAACTTGTCCTAAATACACGAATATTATCACAAAAATATAATGAAAAGAAAAAGTAGTTTACCTGTTTCAACCATTGGGCTGCGGCTGGAATATAAAGGCACCTCCTGACGCTCGGGTGAAGACAACTTGAGAGATCCTAGACTGCAACTCAAAGAGCCCATCTGCACAAAGTCACCACTGCAAGCTGCGGTCTTCTGCGGCTTTTCGGCGGGAAGTTGTTCAGCAGATTTTCCTAAGATCCCGAGCGGATCATTCATCACGCTGGAAGCCACAAACTCCCTGCACAAATCTTCGCCATCGTAGATGCTGTGCTTTGCTGGTGACACTTGAGGGCTGGCACCGCTGAGTGTTTTCGAAGGTGACGGCTGCACGCGTGCGCTCCCAAATCCAACATTTTCGTAGTAAGGCTCATCCTGACAGCTCGATGGTATCAAGGGCGTCTTGCTGCGAGTCACATGCTCTCCAGGCGAGTTGTCGATGATGTCTTCCAGCGAGCGAGACAAGCGCCTCGGTAGCATCCTCCCAGGGCTTCGAGATCTCGTGCCTTCTTCAGAATCACCGCAGCTTGCAGGAATGCAATCCTTCGACCTTGGCTGGCTCGTTTCAGCTGCCTGCTTACTGCGCATGTGGCAGAGGACTGAGCGCGACATGTGTGACGTCTTTTCGAGCGTATGGCCGGCGACGTATTTGTTGCGCTCGGCATCGGAAAACTTGCGAGTGTTCGCTGGATGGAGGAGACCGCGAAGTGTGCTCTCCAAGTCAGCCGTTGACTGTGGCTCACTGAGGGTGCGCGTGTGACTGACACTTAGTCCAGCTTGCGGAGTGGAGATTTTGTTGACTTTGCGACCGACGTGATCTTTGGAATGTGGAGACATGGATGTCACGTCGCGAGTATTGTTGAGCATGTTTGGTGTCGTCCTCGACTGCTGACTAGCAGGCCGCGCTGCAGAACTGCCAAACGCTGATCCTAGCTTGCCACCAAAGATGTCTGAGTAGTAGTAAGGTGCACTGTTGCCACTGCTGCTGCTGTTCAGCACTTTGTTGGAGTTGGATTCTGAAACAACGCACCGCACCTCCGATGGCAAGACATCAGGGGCAGTGGACAGAAGGGGTGATGAAACCTGGCTAAAGTCACCTTGGTTTGAGGACCCGCGCAGTGAGGCATCTGCACTACTTGTTTTAACCACAGAGCTTGTCAAGCTAGAACCAGCTTCACTGGAGCTTGTCTCTCCATCAAGGCTTTTCAGTAGTCCAATGCTAGTAGGCCGGTTTTCACTCTGGTACGAGGAAACTTTAACAAAAGCATCGGGGTTAATCTTAGAATTTGTCAACGGGGCCGTTCCGGCAAATGACACAAACTTAGAATGTTGGCTGGGGCTGCGTTTCTCGAGCTCTTTAAAAGCATCAGTACCTTGTGACGACGATGTCGCATCATCAGGCTTTCTTTCCTTTTTGAATGAGTATTTCGTAGCATGTGACGTGTAAACAGGTAAGTAGGGCTGGGCTGGTGATCGAAGAGGCGAAGGTACGTGATCATTCAGAATTTCCTTTTGGTAGCTCGGCAAAGATGATGTGGCAGTGTCAAAATCAGCCCGACTAGCTTCATCATCCGCATCTGAGGCTCCAGAGTCCTTAACCTCTTCATGGTGCAATAAATCTGGAATAGCCTTCCTCACAAGATGCTTGTATCCGTCTTTCATATACATCTCATGACTTTTTGGCTTCTCAGGTGACTTGCCCTCGGGCTGTGAAGGTGCTAGTCGATATGGTTCTTCATAAACAGGGGGACTTCTCGTTTAGACTGTACATTATTTCCAGTGTTACTGTACGGCATTGAATTCAAGTCCTCTGAGGTCTGCTGGACTTGTTCGTAAATATTTTCCACTGAACCACCACTGCTCGACCCTGAACTTTCAGATTTAAGGATTTGACAAGCTAGCGAAGACTTTCCATAGGAATCGTGCGCATAACTGGTGACTGGCAACACGGGCTCATTGTACACCGGCTCATCATACGGGCAACCGGGACTGAGATCAACATTCATGGAAACGTAGTCAGCCTCGCTTGTCAACCAGCCCATGGGAAGGTAGTGTGCCTCAGGTGGCTTAGATTGAACTGCACAAGGAGGTGGCTCTTGTGGACAGTGCCTGGAAAGTGATACGGTGTCCGGCTTCTGTGCCTGTTCTTGTTGTCGAAAGTAGTCGCCGCGAGCATGCTGTGCACTCTCTCTGTTAAACTCAGCACTTCTGTGCAGGCTTGCAAGGATTGATGTGCTGCCATACTTTGATAGAGAGTCAATTTTTGCAGCATCAGACGCACTGGTCCTGAACTCAACGTCCTGAGGAATAATATTGTTGCCCACCACTGACGATGCAGCTCTTTCTCCAATTCGACCTTCCTCTGCAGCTTCCCAGCTTTCTCGAACACTTTCACCATGCCTTGGACTTGTTTCGTCTTTAGGTTCAAAGCACTTGATTCTGTCTTGTACTATGTTCACAGGTGGTGCTTCCTTCTTTTTCTGGTATGCGGCCCTCATTTCTTCGAAAGCTTGAGCTCCCCACAGGAGTTTTTACCTCAGTTGCATCAACACACTTGACTTCTGTGTCAATGCCAACATCTTTCGGCAGGTGCATTGGACTCTTGGTTACCTGTCTGTCCCTTACATACGTTCGATTGGGGCGCAGAGTGCCCTGGAATAGCTCCGGGCTCTGATCACCTGGCGTTTGGCCCTCACACGATGCTTCAAAGACGGAATTATTGCTGGTCGACTGGAAGGAGACATCCAAGTTGTCCGGGACAGGGAGTCCGACAGTCCTTGTCAATTTCCCATTGTGGACTTTTTGGCGTCGTCGAGCTTCGGCGATAACGGCTGTCAAAGGACTCCATTTCGGCAGCACCACTGCCACTGCTTTCTATGTCAGACACAGAACCCAGCAGTGTTTTCGAAGCCGGCTGCTTGGGATAGAACATTTGTGAAGCTCTGTAATAGTCTTCTTTCTTAATAAGGAACGATTCCTCGTCCTGAGAGGCATTTTTGGGATGCTGCGGTGGACGCGACGGGCTAGGACTGTCCTTGCGAAGCCACATGTCAGCATTGCCATAGAGCCTTTCTTGAGGCACATTAGGCCGTGGACTGCTCAGGCCCTGGTCCGACCTCGAAAGATTGCTATCCTGATCAGTGGCACGGTCGCTGGATGACAGCCGTGTGTTGTGATGTCTGAGAACACTCTTCGGGTCTCTAATAACAGCGCTACCGTGAGGAGATCTGAGTGGCCTACCTTGTAGCAAGCTCTTTTCCTCAAGAAATGCTGATTCGTCGTTCTGGTGCCGTGGCAATGAGGAGCCTGGTGAAGAGTAACTAGTCTGTCTGGCTTCACTGAACGACTCATTCAGCTGCTGAACCTTTTTCTCCATGTTTATGTGACTACCAGCAGTAGCATTTTGGTTCCCTCGTTGCACAAGAATGTTAGTTGGGCTCAGCTGCCTGTCAGAATGGACATAAGCTGTGTCAGTAGAAGCTGGGGCGGTTGTCTTCAGTGCAAGGCTTTTCACGTGCTTCGTTGTATGACCTGTTGTGTGCTTCATTGGAGTAGGTCTTCTCAAATGGACTAAAAGCACGTGACAATTGACTTGTGTTCTGAGAATCCTGATGGACATTGTAAGGAGAGGTTTCATCACAATAATGAGTAGAGTTTTGATCTGTTTTCGACAATGGCTTGCTCCGATCAGCACCCGGTTGTTCGTGCTGTGAAGGTAAGTGCCTCCTGTCACCACTTGACTGGCTCAGGCAGGAACGCAAGGGTTTCTGGCTTTGCACATTTGGCGGGGTGTAAATTTGGGGCTGTTTCTCGCGGTAGAATTCAGGATCGCAACGAAGGTTCCGCAAGTTAACGTAATCTGGGCTGTCGCGATACCTTATAGGTGACATCTTTGCATGTTCTTTTGGGTATTGTTTTTTTCCGGGGTATTTTATCCAAAAGAAATAAAAATATAGGAGGGGGTAAGGGGAACAAACAGAAAGAACAGAAACAGGTTCAACAAAAGTGAAACTGAACCATGCTACATCAATGTCATCAGCATCATGATTAACAACAACAAAACACTAAGGCAGGCCTTGATGCAACTGGCTATCATAAACAGGAGCACGGGCAGGACCAACAGCATCAAAACAGAACAACATTGCAAGTAGACAAGGCAAATAATCTGAAAGTTGTTGTTGAGAGCTAATGGGGCATACGTCATGAAGCATGCCAGTGAGTGCAAGCTCATGTAAGAGCACAGAAAGGAAAAAGCTAAAAACCAACAAAGGAGGCAAAATTATCAAAGTGGTTCCTATGGTTGCACGTTATCCGGGGCCATTCGGACAAGCAGTGGAAACCATGTATGATGGCTTTAGTTCCTAAAAGACTTCTTTTTGGCAGAGTTGGTGCTTACATTGCTGAAGTACACTCGACTGCGTCACAAAATATACTTCGTGAAAAGGGAGGGGGGGGGGGGAGCAATTGAGAAGGAAGTGAAACGCCGAACTACCAACTGCTTAATGACAGTCTGAGAGGTGTACAGAAAAAAAAAAAAGCATTTCCGAGCACGCGTGAACAGCCAACACATGATGTAGCAGCGACATATTCAAGACAACATATTATCGAGAAAGTGCATCTCTGTCAATACAATGTTATAGAAGTAGCACTAACCAAATCGAACTCTTTCTTTTCGATAAAGAAAGCTTCCAGCAACTCTCTAGCAGTTTGTTTCCTGCTTTTGCCAAAATCAGCACTTGCGCAAAGCATGGGTCACATTCGCAGGTGTTGCAGTGCGCCGGCAGATGCGCATAATCTCTCTTACCTATCCTATCAGCATACTCCCTTAGTCTGTCATTGATGCAACGTCTCGTTTGTCCGATGTAGGACTTGCCGCAGCTCAGGCGTACTCCATATACCGCCCTTCTGCACAGCGTCTTAAAATATTTTGTGTGCCTGCTTCTTGCAGCCCCTCGGCTCAATTGCACCCATGCATGCTAATAGCATAGGTAAGAGAAATTATGCACATCTTCCCGTGCTTTGCAACGCCTGTGGATATGAACCATGCTTTGCACAAGCACTGATTCTTGGTAAAAGCAGCAAACAAACTGCTAGAGGGTTGTTGGAAGCTTTCTTTCTCAAAAAAAAAAAAGGGGTCTGATTGTGTCAGTGACATTTCTACTATAACTTTGCATTCAACAGAAATGCACTTTCTTGATAATATGTTGTCTTGACCATGTCGCTGCACGCCATCTGTTGGCTGTTCATGCATTCTTGGAAATGTCTTTTTTTTTTTGTAGGCTTTCCAGACTGTCATTAACAGTTGGTAGTTCGGCACTTTGCTTTCTTCTCATCTGCTACACTCCTTTTCACAAAATGTATTTTGCGCCACAGTCAAGTGTACTTCAGGAATGATGGCTTGAGTGCTTTCTCAGAGTGTAGAAAAATAAATATTTTTGGATGAAAGCTCTCCCTTAATAGTTTATTAGTGTTATGTGAGTAACAAGGTAATGTAAGATCAACCTACAAACTTTAATAAACATGAAAAACAGCTCCAATGATTCTCAAGAAAAAAATCTTATTCACAAACAACACTGACATGCATTTAGGATAGCTTTCTTAAAATTTCTAGTAAAAGGACTTCCTTCTCTAATATACTAGAACTAGAATACCACACAGTTCCTGAGTGCTATGCACATGGTCAACCTGTATCGTAATGGCATGGATGCGCTACCTAAATAGGCATCGTGATTCAGCAAAGCTATGTGCTTTTCTGTCAGATGCTGCGAGTGATAATTTCACAACTTACCGTGGTAGCTTAGCAGCTAAGGCGTTGCACAACTAAGCTCAACTACACAAGCGAGATTCACGACAATTGCGACCACATTTAGATTGGGGGGGGGGGGGGCGAAGAGCCAGAGTACCTGTGTACTCCGATATATGTGCGCATTGAAGAACCCCAGGCGGTCAAAATTAATCTCGAGTCACCCACTATGGCATGCCTTAGAGAGAATTACTTGCTAATTTCCTCAGCTAAACAGGTCCACCAAGCCAGGAATGTCCGGAAAGGAGGTATACTCCTAAATAGAAAATTGTGCTCTTTATTTGGTATATATTTAACACTGAGGATTTCTCAGGTACTGATTATTGTTTTACTGGGTCACTATGCAGAAAAGTCAGCATTTGGTGTATTTGTAGGGGTAGTTCTGATTGGTACCTTGGACGGCCCTATGTTAGGCTTTTTTGCTACGTGAATTGCCCGGATGATTCTGGTGGTTAGGAAAGCAAATAGAGACAACTGAATGCTACTCTTCAATAGAATGAATACTCCCTAGTCTGAACGATTAACCTGCTCTTCCAAACAGCAAACAATGCTCCACAATAAAATGCCACTATAATGGCACTTACATAGATCAAATAAAGAGGGGGAAGGGAGCCCCATCTTTCAGGACATCATGAACAATCACTGATTAAAAAAAAAAAGAGGTTGCACCAGTAGGTGATAAGCACTGAACAAACTTTGACACAAAATCTAGTAAGCAAGGCAACATGCAAAGTGAGTCAAATGCAGGAGAACTGCTTTGTATAGAAGACTCACGGATAAGGTCCGGCCCTAAAGGTGCCGACGTCTCTTGCGCCCGTCCTACAGGTTCTCCTCGTAGCTCTGTGTTGAAGTGAGCCCCCATCATGCCATCCATCGGCCTGGAACCTTCCGAAGCTCGCCGCCTGTACTCTTCAGGCAATGGAGGACGTTCGGGAGGCGGTGCGCACTCAGGCACCGGTGTTTTACGGAGCACTGCTGACTGGAGCTCTTGAGGAGAAGGCACGACACGCTGCTGCTGATGGTGTTGCTGCTGCTGCTGCTGTTGGCCCTGTTTCTTGCAAAGGGGAGACTGCAGCATGCGTTGCTTCCATTCTAGTAGTCGCTTCATAGACTGTTCCTTCTATGCCAAAACGGGAAAAGGCAGAAAAAAAAAATTCATGCAGACCTTCTGAACCATTGGAACTGGTGCAAGCATAGCTTAGTTAGCCTTGTCTGGTATCACACTCACATAAACCTTTCAATTGATAATTAACACATCACCATTTGAAATAAACAAAGGTGAGAGGTGGATCGAGGGTTTTGTTTCTGTACAACACACTCAGGGGTGTGCAAAAGTTCGGAAACGTCTAATATCCAATTGAATTTATTAGTTTATTCAGTCTCAACATGAAAAAGCACTTGTGTGTGGAGAAGTGTGAATATTATTCAAATAGCGGCAAACAATTCGAAATGTCAACTGCACCTTAGCAAACACAAGATTAGCACAAATGTGTTTCTAATATAAACTTCATTCTTCGAGCGCTCACAATACAGTAGACTATTGTGAGTTGCTTGTCAGATTTTGCCGGCTGTACTAGCTTCATTCCCCTTTCTGGAGAATTCTGTGTGCATTAAAAATCTGTTTATCTGATTCCAATGTTTCATTTGCGGTTTTACAGCCAAAATGACCAGCATATAAAGCATGAGCATCACCTTAAGGTAATTGTAGAAGCAGCTGTCTGATATTATAAACTATCAATATTCGGTTGCATTTGCTTCTGGTTTTATTGGATTGATATTAGTCTGTCTAACAAACTACCATTTGCACACTCCTAGGCACAATCACACAAAGCTAACAGATATTGAAGCACAAGCGAGTGCTTCAACAGTCTCCCAGTGAAAACTGGGCCGTGAGTGCAGGATGCCTAGTGACGAGAATTAATTGCAATCTAAATTCTGACACATTTCCAATCATCAATGAGCCCTTCAAAATTGAATCATCTTAAGATTCTTGTCAACAGTGACAAACGGTGGCAAAGAAAGGGAGTAATTGGGAGATCTTCAAACCTCTAAGGTAATTTAGCCCTTTCCCACAAGGTGGCACCACAAACAAATGCAATTTCTCTGTTCTGTTACTTTACAGAGTGTTTACGAATTGAGTTGACCGGCAGACGTGCCTTTAGAGACATCTGCACAATTTGCAATGTGAAGTTGCATTTCAATTACGCCATAACGTTAGCTGCAGCAAGGCAAGACTTTACAGTAAAGCGGAGAAATATGACGCAATAGTATGCTGCAATTATGGCAGAGCAGTATTCAGCCAATGAGATACTTCATGATGAAAAAACAAACAGCGCAAAAAAATGAGACCAGAAAAAGTACACATACAAAGAGCTGAAGTACTTCTTCGTCTGGTCCCTCATTTTTTTTTTTTGCGCAGTTTGTTTTTTCACTATATCGTATAACACACCCAAGCAACCACTTCAGATACTTCATGAGATACTTTTTTAAACTGAATAATGATCCTATTTGGTGAGAACCTTTCACACAGAATAGAAAATTGACACCAAAGCCTCGAAAGTGAAGGAAACCACAAAAAGAGGCACAGTACATTTACAACCAGTGAATGATGAGAAAGAAGAAGCAATGCTGAACAATCTTGGAATAGCAGAGAATTGAGTTAGCTGGTCGGTAAGCCAGTGAGTTAGTCGACGTCCGTGGTGTCTCGACTTCGTTCCTGTGTCTGTGTTTGCCAACCCTGTCTTTTAAAATGAACACTTAATCCCTGATGTATAAAATGTTATAGCTACACAAGGAAGTAATTTTGAGGGCTCATTTTTTTGTTAGACACAATACTATTGAGAACTAACAAACATCATCCTAGTTTTTTCAGTCATAATGAGCCACGCTGGACTTTGAGCGAGGCTTAGCTGCAACAGCTGGTGCACTCTTCTTGCGGAAGTACAGCTCCCTGTTTTCGTCTGTTAGTTCTCATTTATATAATTACAGAAAGAACAACAAAAAACAAATGAAGAACACCTCGTGGAATGATGCAGGCCTGAAATAATGACGAATAGTCTAACAAAAACTGCGCTGTTTTGACTAGAGGACTTGTCTATGACAGGTCAGCAACCGCCTTCCTTAAATAGATACTCAACGAAATTGTTGCTCTCATGATTTTCAGCTAAATTTAAAGATTGGGTTGGGTAATGAAACGGACGAACACAGCCTTTATTTCAGGCAGAAACTTGGGCAAAATAACGAATTCAATGCGTTTCTCGCAAACTGTCGCATATAGAAGCCACGCCGTCAACTAGAGGAGGTGGCGTTACACTCGCGGGAAACGAGCATGCCAACAATGCCAGCCACTGTTCGCATCTCTCTGCCCGCTCGCCTACCACTATAGTTCCCAGAACCCCCACGAACAGCGCCAACCGCTAACAATACTCAATAGTGATGTCACGTCTCCCACCCAAGTGCAGCTGCCACGCACTCAAAATCCACTAAATATACAGCCAACTGCTAAAAAATATGTGAAATAAGTTCCCTTTAACGAAACAGTCATGTCTTCCGAGCACAATTATGATGTTTTCGTAGGTTTTTCCAATTCTTGTTCAGAGTCCTTTTCACAGTTTTTTTATAAATGATGCACACACTCTCCTCCACCCTCGCAAGCGGAAGAGTGGAAGGGTATGCCTGTGTGCAAAGTGGTTAGATTTTGCACACAAGCTTACTCCCCACGTTTCCCACATAGTTATAGGTATTGTAGGCATATATTATGCACTTCATCCTTAATTGAAGAGCGGTCAATCATCATCGGCTGTTTGGGCTCATAATTATCATCGTATTTCGGGTGCGTGCTTCTTCACACCCGTGGCGCTTGTTCGCTCGCGAGAATAAACAGAGTCGTCATACGCGATTACAACAGAGTCATCATAGTATGCATATGAGCGCAGAAAAAGGCGAGCGAATCGGCACTTTAGATTTAATGAGACATTTTCAGGCATCCTTTAACGCAGAAAGAATCCTGAAACATGTCTCTGGCATCAGGAACTACATTAAATAAGTTACACTGTTTCGAGGGAAAAGAACACAGGCCATCGAACTGAAATAGTACAAGGGCATAGCATGGTTCATTTTAGTAATGAAAGCCCAGGGCATTCCACAATATTTGATCATTAGAGCTGGGTCAATAGAAGGCGCATGTAAAAACCCACGTGAACTGCCTTCTTGCTTTGTGCCGAACTTCCACATGCACTTGATGCCTTGCCAGATGGCATTCTTCCCAGCTGCGACTCGTCGTGAAGCACACCAGTCCTGTGCCACTGTCTCCATAGTGCGAGACCTCCACTGTTGATGCTGCTGTTGCTGGACCCGCCAGTCATGAGCTTCGTCCTCGTTTTCCCAGTCGTAATGAGCCATGCTGGACTTTGGGCGAGGCTTAGCTGCAACGGCCGGCGCACTCTTCTTGCGGAGGTATAGCTCCCTGTCTTCGCCGTCGTCGTCACGCTCCAGAAAGTCGGCTGAGCGTGGCCGCATCATTTGAGTCGATGTCATGGTAGAGTTTGGCACATTGTCACCGTAGTGGGCAGAAACAGGCCGGCCAGCATAGGCAGGCAAGGGCTCCTGCGCCCCGTAAAAGTCGTAGCCCTCATAACTGTTGCAGGCATCGTAGCCGCCCCCTTCGGCTACATTTGGAGAAGTTGCGCCGTGTCGGAGAGGCTTGGGAGGTGCATTGGCGTAAACTGGATAGCCCGGGCGCTGTCGTGGGGCGGCGGGTGGAGGACGTTGGTCGTAAATGGGGCTACGAGTGTAGGAACAAGGGTACTGATCACCACTGCCCAAATAGTGGCCGTCCGCGGTTGCCCCTGCAGAGTATGCCTCAACCTCGAAAGACTCGTCAGAGGGACGCTGAGGTTGTTGCGTAACAGGCCTCTGTGGAGCTACGTGCGGCGAGAAATGGTAGTCTGGTGGCATGCCCGGAGAAGGGTTAGCTGCAGCTTGCATCCCATGTAATGGCAGTGCTTGGCGGCTGCATAAAAAAATGACAGCATTAACACTTGCCTTAGCTTCAGGCAGTATGCCCCAATAACCAACATAAACAACTAGTTTACCAACAAAAGAAAGCAATGAAAGGCCATTAAAAGACATAGAAGATAAATTCTAATGAAGGAGGACTAGTAGACAATATCTAGGGCTGATTGACACGGGCATAGCTGATCATAACAGCTTCTGGGGATGTTGATGATAACATTAACCTACTGCCTGCAAGAGCACTTACACTTCTTTATGAGAATGCAATTATGTGCCAGACGGGATCTACAACCTTCTGCATCACAAAAAGACTTTTACCAACAAACATATATTGTTGGCCATCTTGTCATCAAGAGTTTACATTTCAATTAACGATATGAAACCAAATGCCAATTTGCGAAATTTTCTCTATAGCAACACCTATCCCCATCAAAGTATGACATTTGCTGCAGCTGTTATGAATGTCTGAATCTGAGCCCCCTCAGTCATACTAGAAGGCTGTAATGGTCACGTTCTAATCGAAAAAACTGCCATGTGTAAAGGTATTAGGTGCAAATTCAACGAACCGTAGGTCCTAAAGGTCTACCAGAAGCCCACCCCTACAAGTCCTTTATAACAGAAGTTGACATTCTGGCATGTAATACGATCTTGTCAATTACTTTTACTATTTATTACGAAGAAGTGCGATTAGGAGCAAAGCAAGAAGCTAACATAGCTTGCCAACAGGTACGGTTTTCACTTTGCCACGACAACACTTAGGCAGAAACGTCGTGAAAAGAAGTCATCATAGAAAACTCTGCGATGCCAAAAAGAAGAATGTAGGTATGCTTGCATAACACGCTACAAGTCAAAGAGAAAGACAAGTATTAGAAACATGATTAACCTTTAATTAAGGCAGCTTTTATAAGCTGCGATGACCTGAAATGGCTAAACGTCAGCCACAGAAAAGCGTCAGACTGCATAGAAAACATAGCTTCAAATAGCACAAGCATGGAGGAGCCTCCGCGCAAAATTGTGTATTTTAAATACTGGTGGAAGCACCGTGCAAAGCTGGCAAACCAAGTGTTTCTGATGCTGAAATCGAAAAAGAAAAATGCCACAGTCACCATTCGCCTGAAGAGATGCTTTACAGGGTCATGGCCTAGAGTGTACGGCTTTTAGGCATGACCTTCGAGATAAGATGGTACTGAATTAAACATCCTGGAGGCAACGTGACTGGGCCTATGTCATGACGACAACCACTCGAGGTGCCATTTGAAGGCTGACAACAACAACAACAACAACAACAATCAAAACATGTTATTACAGCCTTGCTAAGACTTTTTCCATCTTGGCAAGGCTTTGCAAGGATTGAATTAACCATTGCTTATTCAATTAGAACCTCATAATTTGTATATTACGTCTAAATGAGCTACACTTATTTATAGTGCGCCATGTTGACACATCCACTTCTCATGTTCACAGTAAGCAAGAATTTCACCATTTCACAGTTACACTTCCGAATATCACTAAATATGAGCACAATGTGCATATCGATGAGAAATAATTTCACTAATTAATACCACTCACCTGCGCTCAGTGTCCTTTTGCATTAGGGCCGCAAGGGACATGGCATTCATCCACTGACACATGCTAGCATTGTTTTCCGCGGCAAAATAGTACGTCTTTGTGTTCTGGTGCTCGGCCTGGAAAACCCCAAGACGGTTGCGTATTGTGTGAAAAAAGCTTTGCGCAGTTGCAGGCAAACCCTCCATTCAGGTTCAAAGAATGGAAATGGGATTGTCTGTTGGGAGACTCACCACAAATGAATGCTTCAGGGACACCTTGTCGTCGGCTGTGCATGGCCTGATCTTGTAGCTTGGCAGTAGAATGGAACCTAAACACTTCTCTTCTTCAGGGCCTGAAAGGTTAGTGTTTGAGTTGTTTAACATATAACTACATACAATAAAACACCACTGTTTAACACACTAATAAAATAATGACTTTTGAATGGCAAATAGTTGAGAAAAGAGATATAAAACAATAAAGTTTAGGGTAAACTGACACCTAACTTGAAGACTGCTAAATCATGCAAAAGGAATAAAAAAAGAAGGTACATTTTGTACGCCCACAGTAGCAACAATTGCTAACTGTAAGGCAACACAAGCAATCCACGTACAAATTAGTATTTCGTTCTCGGCTTATCTGACCCACAAGTAAAACTATGTCACGGGGAAAAAAATATGCGTAAAAGTTATTCTCAAGTGACCGATTTGAAATACAAGATAAGAGGAAGCAGATTCACTAAATGTGTACCTTTGTAATAGAACAAGCAGTATTCTGAAAGGATACACCAATCGCTTCTTCCACTGCTTTATCGTTGCTCCCTCGAGTTTGTAAAGCCAGCCCTTGAGTACAACTTCAGCCTGGCTGTCTCTTCTTACGACAGGTGAACTGGAAATATACAAAATATGTCCAGCGTACACTTGGCATTAACGTACGCAGGCGCATGCAAATCACTCATTTATTAAAATTCATCCTTGTCTCAATACTAAAATTTTTTTCCATGCGGTATTTCACCCATTTCGGGGTGAAAGAGCAAACTTTTAAAAGACAGCCCACTCAAGACAATGTACCATTCCTTTTTTTTTTGCCCATAACACAGCAGTATGCTTCATCAAATATACCTAACCCACTGATCAGTTTAAGGACACCAGTTGAAAATGCGAGCCTAAAGCCAGGGAGTGATGAAAGAATGCTTAATAAAACAGGAATATTCTACCACCACCATTTTCTATATGTTCCGATTAAATTTGTTACACTGTACCTATATGTCCTGATTAATATTTTTCCTTAAGCTACGTGAAAGAGCATTGATTAGGAAAAAACCACACTGTAGTGCCGATACATGTTGAAAGATAATAAAGTAACGTTACCGAAGTACAACATACAACTTAAATGGCAGCAACACGGTTATAAGCGAACCCAAATCCAGCAGTACCATAATGAACTCTACTGTTACAAGAAACTTCATAATGCAATCAAACAAAATTTCATTTTATTTGCTAATGTCCAAGATTATTAATAATAGATTACCAAATGAGAAAATACAATCCGAATTTCAGCATTTGGTCTGCAAACTCATCACTCATCGAATGATCATCTTCAATGATGGCCTTTGTGGACACTGCCAAAATGATAACTCTAGAATTTTACGAGCATTGCATGTCATGCTCTGTGTGAATAGAAAACTGTCCTTTATGTTTATAGCTGGATATGTCTACCGCCCACGTCGTTCACATTATGAATTTCGGCACCAGCACCGTTTCGTCATTGCTCTTGTCCTTTCTTTGTGTGCCAATCTCTATCCGTGTAAGGTCATTTCTTTACATTTTCATTGTCTGAGCAGTCATTACAACGCTTTCATATGATTTTGTTTAAATAAACCTTCAACTGTAAGTACATTCTCATAGTGTCTCTTCTTTGTTCCTTATTTGTCATGCCACTTTCGCATATCATCCACGTGAATCAACTCACCCAAATGTTTAATCCAAAAGGAGTTCAACCACAGCATTGGGCAACGTCTCAACTAACATCAAACTGAACAAAATTTCATTATACCTAGATATTTTCTTGTTGCCAAATTAAGTGGATTCAATGCAGTAGAACAAGGCACATATTACTTGAAATAAAAATTTCTGTACATTGTATTTTTTATTATAAAACATTTATTCTCCAGCACATTTTCAATTTGCTTAATCAAGACTCATCTTTATTATTTTCAAGGGTGCAAGAAGCCCTTATTAAAGCTGACAAAAATTTAGATACAAACTCTTATCATGAAGCAAAGCAATGAACTGTAAAGGCTCTAAAGCAATGAAACAATGAGTTGGGAAGGATGCACTGCTGCGGTGAACACTAAATTGCAGTGAACAGCTTTTATGACAACTGCTTATTGATTGATTTGTGGGGTTTAACGTCCCAAAACCACCATATGATTATGAGAGACGCCGTAGTGGAGGGCTCCGGAAATTTTGACCACCTGGGGTTCTTTAACGTGCACCCGACAACTGCTTATCATACAGTGACAAGACTCCAAATGTAAATGTTACATTTTACACTGTTCAACAGCTGTGAGGAGAGCATGTGCGGCACAGACATAACAAAGTTAGAAGCTTGGCTGCTGCAGCAGAAAAAAAGAAAAACGTAAAACAACGTAAATCTACCGCATTGCTTAAATCTTCATTCCGACGTCCGTCACGCGTAAACGTTTTAAAATATAACCTGCCAGATGTGCTCGGCGTAATAGCTCCCCACATGTCCAACACAGATACATTCAACATAAAAGAAACAGCAAATACTTTACACTGGTTGGCATATGACATGGGCCTGAAGATGTAACGTGACATTTTTTTTTCCACAATTAACGTGTTCTTACACAAACAGCTAACAAATGCAAGCTGAAGCATTGCACAGGCACTTCAAAAAGTAAGTAAAGGTAGCTGTCAACTAACCGTATGTTTCCTGAGAACTTTCTTCTCAAGCTCTGCAAACGGTGAGGGGAGAAAAGTGACGAAAACACCGTGAGTGAGTACACGTTACGAGAACTATCATTCAAACGATCGGTAACCAATGATAACAAGCTTACCTTTCTAAGCTCCATTTTTTCCGCCATGCAGAGAACACAAAAAAAAGCGCCTGCGAGGAAAAGAACAGCGGGAAAATGAAGCACATGTCTCGCTGCGATCAATGCTTCGGAAGCCGTTCAGTGAAAACAAGGCTATTAAGGATCGATGCATACACCGATATCATCGGCAACAGGCGCGCGCTCGATGGCTCTAAAATTGAAAGTACCAAAAAATCAATTGTTTGCCAGGCGAAAGCAACCGGCAATGAAAGTCAACATTTCAGCCCCTTATGAGTGACTTTTCGAATTACGCGCCACACAACTTAACAAACTGGTATGCTAAGATCTGTACTAGTTAACGAGCGGCTTCCAGCACTTCCAGCAGCGGTTTATAACGATAGTACAGCGGCTACAGGGCAAGTAATAACTCTGGCTGAGAGCTATGAAGGAAGAGCATTCACACGGCAATTGTCTTAAAACGTTTATGTTGAGAAGAACGCGGGACTTTCGCGGAATAAACGAAAACATTGTAGCGCTGCAGTGACCGCCTAATGATCGCAGAGGCGCGCTTGGAAGCACCTCCCATCGCGGTGTCCTACTTCAGTTGAGCATGAAGGAGGCAGCGCAAAAATATTCGCTCCTGAATTCGCTCACGGGCGCACCAAACCGTGACGACGGCGATCACTTTGAACTTTCTCCAGCTTTATTTTCTTTTTCTTCCGAGTTACCGCGAGCATGCCACTGTCACTTGGTCAGATACGGAAACCGCGCGCTACACCGAACGGCCCCGGTAAAGAAAGAAACCGCAAGCGAAAGGGCGAATGGGCCCCGAAGCGGTTCCTTACCTTGGAAGAAGTCTAGCCCGCAGCCTCGGCAGAGATGCCGACGTAATCACGACACGGACGGAAGCTCACCGGCGGTGTTATTGAACCCTGCCACGCTAGGTTGACTCCGCGTCGCTGGATGCCGGCAGTAGCAGTTGCCGGGTTTGTCACGAACAGGCATCACGGCGACGCTCCGATGCAACCGTAGCAGCGGCATAAAACCTCACCAACAAGAGCACATCGCTACCGCTGCTGTGCACCACCAGTCCGACCGCTCGGGACGTGCCATGTCGAATCCGTGCGATCCGCATGAAGGGTGCAGTGTCGATCGGGTCCGGGTGGCAACTTTTTTCGGGCTTTAGGGTTGTTGACACAGGTGAGGAAATAAGTCTACCTTACGCTGGCTGGCATTGACAAGCTGCCACAGCCAGCCATTATGAAATTCCTGGGGACCCCTTCTTCGCCACCTCCTCGGCTTCTCCTCTTGCTGCCCTGGTGTCCCCTTCCCCTCGCGTTTCTGTGTTTACGTTACGTCACGAGACAGGTAGCGACGTCTTGCGGACGTTTCTCCGACGACGCTGAACTTTTGTTTTCGAGTCGTGCTCGAAAGAGGGGGCGACGTCAGCGGCATGCGATGCGGCAAGGTCAATACGCGCGCCCGCGTGTTTTCAAAACGCATGGTTGCCTGCCTAAACTTTCACGCAAATAACTAAAGAAAGTAAAGTTCTGCTGACTGCCCCGTATGGTACAAGATTTTAATGAATGTTTCCTCTTTTGTGCGTGTGATGCATTCTGCAGCATTACTTTTACGCCATTCTTGCTAGCGCACTTTCAGTAGGGCGTCTCACTCGGCACGGGACCGACCTTTATCAAAAAATTTATGCACTTTCACTACGGGAAAGGTGCGTTTTGCAGGCCTGTAACCAGGGAGAGTAAGGGGTGCCCCGCAGCCACCCACCTCTTCCGAAATGCTTTGGAGGGGGTTGTATTACCGAGTTTAAATAATACAAATGGCATTGTTGTGAAATAGCCAAGGCCTTCAACAAGAGGGCCCCTCCCGAGAAAAATTCTTGGCTACAAGCCAGCTGGCGTAATTAAAGGAAAATAAAACCCGACATGTTAATTTATAAATTAATTTGCTCGAAGGAAAGGGCGCCGAAAACAGTCCTGCTTTTTATGGGTAGGAAATTGCGCATCCTATTGGTAAGTATATATATTCATATCAATTAACGAAACAAGAGAAATTCGTAAACAGTGATGAAGGTAAGCAGTACTACATGCGGTCAGCTGTTTTAGCAGTGCTTCTCTACTTCCGCATACCGTACGCAAGACAACTTCCTTTCAAGAGAGTATCAGCGCCGCACAACAGGAAGGAACTAAGACAATCACTGCCTTTGAGCTCTATTATGTGCGTGAGGTGGAGTGAACAGCCAGAGGTACAGAGACAGCGCACAATTGTTGCCCTTCATACTTGTATACTGCGCTAGGCGTACGGCCAATAATACGGCCATGCAGTCAACTTCCTTGAACGTGTGCTTCGTTTTCATATAACCCGTATGACAGGGGTATAATAGAAGATTGAGCTGGCTGCGTTGGCGTAAGTCATATGGAGGTCAGGAGTGTCTGGCTCCCCTTGTGTTCAGGCTAGGGGAGGGGGAGGGGGGGGGGAGTGAAGGGCAGGGACACTTTTTCGTATTCGTATTTATTTCAGACAAAGACAAGTAATATGTACATTTGCCCTGTCTAGGAGGAGTGACAAAAAGGCACGAGTGCCTGACTGGGTGTCACACCCCTTTTTAGACACACACAACTCAAACATCATTGGCAGTTATCTAAGCAAAATACACAAGGTTACATATAGTATACATATTTTGGCCAAACATACACAGGATTTTCTACATATATACATTGTTCTATATACATATGAAACAGAAAGATTTTCTATATACATATACAGTATAAACTGCAGCAAGGTAAAAAAAATAGAAAAAAAAAGAAAAAGAAAAAAAATAGAAAAAAAAAGAAAACGGAATTATTCTTGTATTGATAGGAGATATGCAGTTAACTTTCTTTTGAAGCATTTCATGTGCATCGTTTCTTGTACCAAGTTTATCACGGTAGGATGATGATTTAGAAAGTCTGCTATAACGTAAGATTGTTTTTGCATACCATAGTTAGTTCGTGTAAAACCTTTATCATACCTAGTTTTTCTGGTTTCGTAAGCGTGTCCTTTTCCCAGAAATTGTCGAAAAAAACTATCGTGGCATAACTTTATTTTCTGAAATATTGTAATGCCTAGCTTCTTTTTCAGTATGTGTTGCATTGTTAATATAGTGTTCGCTTTAAAAAGTGGAGCGGAGTGAGTTATATATGGCACATTTTCAATAATTCGCACAATACGTTTTTGTAGGATATACAGCTTTTTAAGATTTGTTTTTGTTGTTGTTCCCCACACAAGGAGGCAGTATTGTAAATGGGAATGAATTAGTGCGTAATATAGCTGGAGTTTTAACCAACGTGGCAAAAGTTGCTTTGCTCTGCTGATAATACCTATTGAACGTGAGATGCGTCTTGTGAGGTTATCGACATGAGGGGACCAGCTGAGATTTTCTTCGAAAAGAACACCGAGAAATTTATGTATTCTTACACGCTCGATGATCTCGCCACGGAATTTCAAATGTACGTCATTCCTGATTGACTTATTTCGGCAGCGAAAAATTATATATTTAGTTTTTTTGGTATTTAGTTCTAGTTTATTTACAATAAGCCACTCAGATAAATTATTGAGCCATTTGCTAGCTTGCAACTGAAGAATATGTAGGTTCTCTCCTGAAAAAAATACATTCGTGTCATCGGCGTAAAGAATTATATCTGGCGTGAACGGAATATTACCTATATCATTTATATATAATAAAAAAAGAAGTGGTCCAAGGATGGAACCCTGAGGAACACCGTATTTAATTTCACCTAAAACTGATTTTGAATGATTGGTGTCTGTGTATTGGTAGCGGTTTGTCAAATAACTGCGTATAAGGTCAAGAGCAAGTCCCCTAACGCCATATTCGCTTAACTTTTTTAATAAGATATCATGCTTAATAGAGTCAAATGCCTTTTTAAAATCAAGAAATATCCCTAGAGTATACTTTTTGTCTTCAAAATTCTGAATTATTTTTTCTTTGATACTTAAAAGAGCCATTTCACTTGACTTCTTTTTCTGAAAGCCGTATTGATTGCCTGTAAGTACATCATTTTTAGTGCAGAAATTCATAATTCTTACAATAATCATTTGTTCGAAAACTTTTGAAAACAGTGGTAGTACCGAGATTGGTCTGTAGTTGTTCATGTCATTTCTATCGCCTCCCTTAAATATAACTGTTACTCTAGCGATTTTTAGTTTATCAGGGAACACGCCTGTAGCCAAAATGAGGTTGCATATGTGCGATAAAGGATTGCTGATACTGTTGACAACTGCTTTTATCGGCTCGGCTTTTATCTCGTCCTGGCCACATGCGGATGCATTCTTTAACTTTAGTATTTGGGATTTAATTTCATGTTCTGTTGTTGGCTCCATGAAAAGAGACTTCACGGAGTTATGCATAATGTATGACCTGTAATTATGCCTGTCACAGTTATCACTTACCGATGCTCCACATTTTAAAAAGTGTTCATTAAACTTATTAGCCAAAGATATACCGGTATAAGTTATATCGCTGTCTACAATTTCAGAGACGCTGAGTGGCTCTTTTTGCGGCAGTAGGCCTTTTAATGTTTGCCACACACGTTTGGGGTCATTTAGAATGGTTTCGAACTTTCTTTCGTAATAACAATTTCTTGCTTCTTTGATATCACGCCCTAGTTTGTTTCTAATTTTCTTATAAACAGTTAAGAGATTAGGTTGTCTAGTTTTAATGAATTGACTAAAAAGTCTGTCTGGTTCCTTCATTCTCCTTAGAAGCACCGTGGTAATCCAAGGTTTCCTACATTTCTTGTTTTGTTTGATAGTAGTTACAGGAAATGCTTCATCATAAAGTTTTTTAAGGTGATTGATAAAATAATTGTAAGCAATGACAGGATCCGTTAACTGATACAGATAAGACCATGAGGTTTCACTAACAGCCGTTTGAAAAGCAGCAACATTGCTTTTGTTAATCTTTCTAAGTTTAAAAGCTTTATTGGCACGCATTCTATGTGTTTTTGAATGAGGGTTGAAGAAAACAAAAATTGGCATGTGATCACTGACATCAGATATCAAGACACCTGCTTCTATGACATTCGTTTGTGGGATAAAGCATAGATCAATTAGAGTTTCGGAGACATCTGTTACTCTTGTCGGTACATCAATTACATTTTCTAGGCCGTAAGAGAGAAATAGATCAAGAAGAACTTGTTTGTTGCGTTCTAGAGACAGCATATTGATGTTGAAGTCACCCGTCGTAACAATAGTCAGACCGAGTTCGGAACAAAAATTCAACATACGTTCTAAAAAGTTAAAAAAGGCATCTATGGCACCAGAGGGCGGCCTATAAATTACCACAATTGCAGTATGGTAGCACTTCATCATGAGGGATTCGTAGTGTGGGTTTACGACTGAAAACTCTGTCACAGTTTCGAAATGCAAATCGTTTTTGATATAAAATGCTACCCCGCCTCCTCGCTTTTCTTTTCTGGATACGGTTGTACATCTGTAACCTGGGAATTGTACCTCATATTCATCGGTGAACCATGTTTCAGAAAAGGCTAAAATGTCAAAGTTGTATTTAAAATCATCAAGAAGCATGCAAACGCGTTCTTCCTTACTTTTCAAGCTTTGCGCATTTAAATGCAGAATAAATGCACTTCTTGCAAGTGTCCCACCTTGAGATTCAGTTTTAGAATGGCATGTACTTCAGTCACTTGAGAGTTAAGTCCAGTGAATTCAACTTTATATTAAGGCCTATTTTTAATGTGCAGCTGTGTTCAATACCCGTCAGCTGTGTGAAAGTATGCAAATAGCTAAAGTCACTCAACCGGCAAAAAAAAAAAAACACCGAATAGAACAATGCAGGTACTTGAGCTCAGATACCATGCTCGTTTTTTTATATATGATTTGTTTCTTGTATAAATAAAAATAAAATCCATATTTAAAACCATAATGGCTGCCATAGTTTTATTTGTGTCTCCTATTGTAATTTTTTCTTGATTTGCGCCACAGGCTGGCTAACTTGCATAAGTTTATAAGTTGCGACATGAAAAACAAAATTGCCCCACCTCCCCGAATAAAATCGCGAGGAAATGCGAAGGCATTTTTTGAGCTAAGAGTATACATGGCGTAGTAAATTTAATGTCGTAAATTAACGATGAGACGAAGATTTGTTGCGTAACCTTTTATTTGCACATTCGTCAGCACCTGCTCGAGTTGTCATTCTACCTGGCGGCCACAATATCAGCGTCTTATCAACACAAACGCAGGCAGCACAAACGCGTTTCAAACGCACTGCATTGTGGCGTCGGCACGTC